GGTGGTCATCATGGTGATACTGATGCGCCGATGCTGTCGCCCCAGAATCCTCCGTCAGGACAGCCTCGTTTAGTCTCAGCCCGCCGACGGTCATTTAATATCCCGACTAGATTCCCGCTCTTCAGCAAGTCAAGGCAACACACCTCTCATCAGGACGACTCCGTCTTCCACTATAAGTCTAACACAGAACCGCTGCGAAGAAGTTGGACTGACGTTGGTGCTGCTACTGATACTGCCGCTCCGACTACCACCTCTGCTGCCTATCCGAGACCAAGATCTGCCTCCCCAACTCGAGCTATTAGTCCGAGCGAACAAGGCTATACCCACCTAGGGACCTTCAAGTTTGGCTCTCTCCATGTTGTAAACGGCTGCGCCTCGCCAGCACCTAGCAGCAAGAAACAAAGGTCTTATCCAGACTTGAATGCCATAGAACAGTTGGACTCTAAACCAGAGACGGAGACAGAGCAAGAACAAGAACCACTGCCAGAGATAGAGACAGTCATGGAGGCTGAAGAGCCTGCTACCATGCCTGCTATTGCTACTCCTCCTCCTCCTATCCCAAGGAGGTCGTCCTCCAGGTTGAACTTACATCGTTCGGAGGGTGCGGTCGAAGCCCAACACCTTCCAGAGTTCGCTACCCAGTCATCCCCTCGGTCTAAGCCAAAGCTCACTCCTTTGGTGACCTCTCGAAGACCGAGCGTCTCCTGGTTCGATGACTGCCCTACTTCGCCGGCGGGTTTCGGAAGCCCTGACTCGGCCCATCTCAGACCACTGACTCCGCCCTCTGTCCAGCCTACGCCTATGTTGGTGACAACCACGAAGCAAACTGAACACGACGACAACCTCTTTGAAGATGAAGGAATGGAGATTCCTGTCTTCTGGGACGATACTGTCCAATCCCACGAGAGCTTCCATGATCCCCATTTCCACTCGTCCCTGAGCAAAGAACGTCAGGAGACGAAGAAGCTGGAGTCTAGTAAGCGCTCTGGTGCTCTGAATAAGACCGACAGTGGATACAGCTCCGCTTCGGGAAAGTCAGCCTCCAGACACCGTTACACATCGTCACGACAGAGGAACTCAAGGGATAGGAACGGCCGCTTGTTCGACGGAGACTCGAATCAGGCACTCATCCACTGCGACGGAAATATTAATGAACCAGTCGAGGGCACAATCTCAATCGCCTCTCATGGGGACAAGGAGATTATCAACGCTGTCTTCCCATGGCCACCAGCTCATCTTAGGTACCCGGTTGAGGCTTATACAAGTCAAGCGATTCAGCCCAAGCAGCTGCCTCAGGAGCCTACTTATGAGAATAAAGCAGATTCCATGTCTGAATATAACCTGGATCCAACCTATCCCGTTAGGGCCAAATTTGAGCCCTCTCGTCCACCGCCTATACCACCACGGTTCCGTCAGCCTATGCAAGTTTCCCGCCCCCGGCCTGCAGATAGTCAACATACTCAGTGTAAGATTCCTTCTCCTGTGGGCCTTGCTATTGAAATTTCTCCCAAGTGCATTTCTCCTAGGGAACCTTCTCCCAAGGATCGTACTCATAGAAGTTCTAATAATGAGCGGTCGTCAAGAAGCCATGCTAGAAGCCATGCAAAGGGAAGTTCCTACAAGAGCTACTCTAGCAAGGAACATGCAACCAAGTCTCATTTGTCTGCTAGCAATATGACCAAGAGTAACGCACCCAAGAGCAGCACAACTAAACGACCTAATAGGAGGTATCGGGACTCGACTCCCGCCCGGATGACAGGAGGAAAACCACCCACTGCCTCCCAAGTCCACGCTAGATCGGCTTCAGATGCCACATCTTCCAGGCCGTCAAAGGGTATTAACAAAGACAAACCCCTTCCGGCTCTCCCACCGCCTCGTGATGTTCGCTTTCCAAAAGCCCAGATGCTCACCCCGCCCCTATCCCGCTCAACTTCGATGGGCGACCTGAAGCTGCTTACCAACACCAGTCCTGAAGACCTGATAAACTATATCGATAACCACACTCCTGTTGAAGTAGACAATAACCTGTGGGGATCCCTCTCCGCCGACCCAGAACTAGACCTGGAACTCCTCCCGCTCAACCTAGACCTTAACAAGTCTGCTCTCGACGACTACCAATCTAGGAAGTCCCTTCAGGAATCGATCAACCAGTCTACAGCTACAACTCGACAACCCAACAAACTCCATAGGAGCGCATCACACTTCAGCTTCTCTTCGTCTATCAATCAAAAGCCAAGCGGTCGATACTCTACTTTCCCACCATCGCCAGTCCGTGATGTCTTCGATCGTAAGTCTCGGAAAGCCAAATATCAATCCACACCGCCGACATCATACCGCTTCTCCCAGCTTAAATCAAATGTGACTGAGAGGCGCTCAAGTCACTTATCCAGCGCCCCATCGACAACTTGTGCTGCGCAAATGGCTCTGGCGCATCAAAAACCGGGTGCGCTCAACCATATTGAAAGCTATCTTTGATTACACCTCTTTTGCATTCTTCTTTTCTTTCTATCTTTGATACCAACTTCCATTCCATTCAAAGCATCCCTATTTCACCAAGGCTTAAAAGCATGCATATACTTTTTTTTTTATTTTGTGCAAGATTTCTACTCGTCCATGACGTTGCTTATATGACCCTCGCTGAATATACAATACCCAGCTGCTACACTCGCTATATATACCCAGCAGACCATCGTTTGTCCTTATATCCTACGTTAATGTGGTATCCCACGTCACGAATTTAATGACATCACAACCAATCCTTTACAGGCTGCATGCCTTATTTTCTTAATGTTTTGATTTATTCATTAGTATTTGCCTTTTTAGCGGACATGTCGTGGATGGTTGGCCGGTTGGTTGGGTGGAATTGTATTGGATTTTTTTTTTTTTTTTTAATTCAAAACTTTGAAGTATTCAACTGCATTGATTATTTTACTGAGTCATCGATCGCTTGCTTTGCTTTTCGGAGATATGTACAATTCTTCCTGCCGTAATATTGGCAGAGCACATAGCTTCGGGAAACTACCCGCTATATTATACGATAGCATAGGACAAATAACTGTATGAATATAACTGTATTACTTTTGTCTTGATAATCCGAGGAATGAAACAGCTGTTAAAAGATAAATATGTGAATTAATGTAAAGACGGGTAAGAGGCTGGCTATAATAAATACAGTGTCATAGAAAGCACCAAGGAAACAAAGTCACAACATCAAATTGGAATACAGAACAGCGAAAGAAAAAGTTGGAATGCGCCAGACTCATCAATTTCCCATAACCATCATAAATGCGCAGGATCGTAAAGTCGCATGCATCATTAAAAGGGCAAGGCATATTGTTCCTCATTTCTCATTCACGCGATGTTGATCTTCTTGACAGTTGGTGGAGCTGCCTTGGGCACGTTGACGGAGAGGATGCCATCCTTCAAGCTAGCACTGACTGCATCCTGGTCGACTCGGGATGGGAACTTGAAGACGCGATTGAACTCGCCAACGGAGCGTTCGGTCATCCAGTACTTGAAGGAAGGAGCATCGGCTTTCTTCACCGAGTTGTTGCTAGCCTTGGTGACTTTGTTGTCCCTAGCGGGAGAGGCAGGGCGAGAAGCAGTGGCTGGCTCCTCATCTTCAACAGTGGCTTGGTGGGAGTTGCGTCTGGAAGACTCTGCCTCGTCTTCGATAGCTGCAGGAGTTGGAGCCTCTTCGATAGCGTTGTTGTTCATGTTGGTAGAAGTGTACTCGCGCTTGGTTTTGCCGCGAACGACGAGTGTTTGAGGATCGGTGAATTCGATCTCGATATCCTTCTGGCTGACACCGGGAATTTCTCCGTCAAGATGGTACCCGTCCTTGCACTCCCTCACATCGAACTTTGGAGCAAAGGAGCGAGCGATGTTTGTCTCAGATGCACAAGCGCGGTGGGCATCATAGTCGTCAAGAAGACGGAAAAGGGGGGTGAATTCACCACCAGAGAGACGTGGGAAGAAGGCCATTTTGTTGTCGTAATAGTTTGATGGAAAGGTGTTGATAATGTTTCTTGAAGATGGAATCTTGTTGACTTTGTAAAGTGTAGTCTTTGGAGTTCGAATGTTCCTCAGAGTGGATTGAAGGCTGTTGTTCCTGAATAGCATAGAGAAGTTGAGTTGTTGTGATTGTCTGTGATGAGAAATGAAAATCGATTCTCATCGACAAGTTGGTTGTTTATATAGACCGAAGCCATTGTCCTAGAAGCTACGCGATTCTTGTAGATTGCCTTCACATTAACAATCATCTCCAAGCTGCTTCGTGATACTCGAGGCTCCTCGATGCTGCCTGAACCTTCGAGTTTCTTCTCGATTTCGTCAGCTTCTTCGCCAAGGTTCGCCGAGTTTCCAGAAGCTTCGTGCACGTTCCATCAAATAAAAGTTTATCGGATAAGCTTGTTTCCGAATAAGATCACGTGATATATAAATATTTCGATCAAGGTGATTGGAGATGCGGATGGAATCCAGCAGGCGATATGTAAGTGCCATGGACCATAGCTTCGATATTCCTTGAAAGGCCGTCTTCCTTGTTGAAAAGGGTATCACCGTGTAACATTTCGGATGGCTGGCGAAGAATACATCTCCACCTGGCGGTGACCTTTCCTCAGCAGAAACTCAATGGCGGCAAAATCCTTTTTGCTTATGGCTTGATTTTTCCGGAATTCATCCCTACTTTTCCGTTAGCTTGCTGAACAATGAGGTTGGGTATTCGATGTCTCATGGGCGCAAATCAACGCGGTTGTGGATGAAGTCGTCTGGAGTACCCGTGGTTCTCTCGAATAGTCACGGAAAGCGCATACCTGGCCAATTGTTTGAAGTTACTCTGGGAATTCTGTTATGCCATGAGTTAACCGTTGAATTTTGATGACCGTGGAACAAAATAAACAGCACTTACAATAGGCTTTTTGCGAATTTCTCTGAAGCACTGGCGGTACAAGCTCAGGACCTCTCGTTGTAGCCCTGAGAATCGTATTTGCCCCATACTTAAGAACCAACCTTTCCTCTTGCTTCCTTCTGGATCTCCTAGCCAATATTGAAATCTGTTTGCACACGTCAATGAACTGCGCCAGGCACCTGCAGATCGGGCCAGTTGATTTTCAGCTCGGGAGTACAATTTTCCTAACTAGCCCAGAACAGGTGCTGGTGGAGATTAGTAATCCAAGCTGTCCGGCAATTCGGCTGAATCGCCATGACATGGAAGGTTGCTGGTAGCTTTACTCCATGTAACTGAAGGCGAGATATCAATTAGAGACCCAATATAAAGAGGAAAATATGCCTGCATTCTCCGTAAGAAAGCCTATCATTTTATAGTGGGATGGTATAGAACTAATTCTGTCACATCAGCGCCTTGTTCGTTTCCTGGCCAAAGACGGTTTGGTCTATCATGGAGATGCCATTCTTCCTTCCGGTGTTAGTGACCTTGCCAAAGCTACCAAAGCCAGAGTCATCAAGGGAGAGATCTTCGGCAATCACCAGGTCACAGATCAAGTCCAGGAAGTGAAGAAGCTGCTCTGTCCACTGGCTCGGAAAGATATCAAGACCATCCGATGCCTGGGCTTGAACTATGCTGAACATGCAAAAGAATCGAACATGCCTCTACCCAAGTACCCAATCCTTTTCTTCAAGCCTGTCACAGCAGCTAGTGGGCCGACAGACGACATACCCGTCCCCCCAATGGCTCAGGAATGCGAAGGGTTGGACTATGAATGTGAGTTGGTGATCGTCATCGGGAAAGAGGCTCGTGATGTACCGAAGTCGAAGGCACTTGAGTATGTGCTAGGTTATTCAGTGGGCAACGATGTGTCCCACCGAGAATGGCAGATAAAACGTGGTGGAAGCCAATGGGGTATAGGCAAGGGTTTTGATGGATGGGCTCCCTTTGGTCCTGGAATCGTGACATCAAAGATAATTCCAGACCCGAACACCCTGCAGATATCAACGAAGGTGAATGGTAAAGCCGTGCAAAATTCGAATACAAAGGATATGATATTTGGCGTAGCGGAGACGGTTGCTTTCCTATCTCAGGGAACTACACTATTACCTGGTGATATTATATTTACCGGAACGTAAGTGCTGCAGTACCTTTGTTACTCAAGTCTGGTTTACTAACATAAAATCATACTGCAGCCCCCAGGGGGTTGGAATGGGTCGAAAACCTCAGGTTTGGCTAAAAGATGGGGACAGAGTGGAAGTATCACTTGAAAATGTTGGAACATGCAGCAACAAGGTTGCCCATGTTAATGGCTCCTCTAAATTATAGTTAAACCATGCAGTTGGAAGTATCAATATGGGGTGTCATTACGATTTAATTCATGGATATAATTGCAATATCTATCTCAGGGTTGAGAAACACTAAGCGGTACCAAATTGAAATCGAAATTAGTTGACTTGGGTGCCATAGCCTCTGATCCTGTCAGCAAAAGCCCAGCTCTGGTTCTCCAGAGCTTCGTTTTCCTTGAGCTCCACACCGTCCTTGGTAACAACCGCAATAGAATATCTGTCCGAGCTTCTAGCATCTCTGTAGAAAAGCACCCTCATGCACTGCTTCATAGCATCAACTGCCCGCTCCTTGGTGATATTATCTATCCCATCTTCCTCTGGGAACAATCGACGTAGAATGGGCACAGCCAAGTGGGCTCCGAACCCTGTAGCAAGGGCTGGTGCGGAGTAAGTTGTTCCTAGCAAGTCTGCGGAGCTGAGGAATGGCTTGCCCTCATCGTCGAGTCCGGCAACAAGAATATGGTTCCAGAGAGGGTCAAACTTGGATCGTCGCTGGTAAAGCAGTTTGGACAGATATGTATGGAGATTTTTGGCGTTGAGAGAATGCTCTCCGTATGTAGAATAGTTTTCTTGTATGTCTAGGGAGTTCAAGACGCGGTCGATATACTGCATATCAGAGACGTCACCACCAAATCCAACCACGGAAGAGTTGTCGAAGGCCCGGAGACGCTTCAGGTCGGTAAATCTGGCAAGTGAGCCATAGGAGCCTGGCACATTTATATTAGTAAAGTTAAGTACCGCGACATGCTACATACTGTGGATAGCTCACCCAAGTTGTCCGACGCTATGACGACGCCGTCCTTGAACTTGACGGCAATAACGGAGGTTCCTGTCACGATTGGGCGCTGGGTATGGGTTATTGGACCGGACGTCTGGAGATATGAGTGATCATAGGCCCCGTACACATCGTCTCGCGGCTACAGCAAATCAGTAATTAGCTAAACGAAGCTGATGGCGGGCTGTATGTCTTCGTGCTCACCCGACCCCAGACTTCTGGAAAGTGGTTCATGATGGATAGTTGGGTCAAGACTTCGTAACAAAAAGGGAGACAAATGAATACGGAGCCGAGTAACTGCGGAAAGAGTTAAGGATGGAACCGCTATAGTTGGGTCAAGTCGAGGCTTGTTGCTGGATGTTGTCTGTTGTTGATGCAGCTTGGAGGTTTTTGGTGAGCTTGCGACTAAGGGCAGCCTAGAAGACAAACAAGGCAAACATGTCGCCTCGTCAGTTAACTAAGTATCAGGAACGCCAACTGGTGATTCTACTGCCAGCAAGATGGGAGGAACTACAGATGATAGTAATTTGTACATTAGTAGGCAAGTGACTTTGTAAAGTCTGTCTATCCCGGGTATATTTTATTTCTCCAGTTACGCCCAAACTCCTCCCTAATGCTCAAATATAAAGGATGCATCCTATCGAGACCTAGATCGTTTCCTTTTCCCCGGTGACCGCGAACGATGTCTTCTATAATCCAGATCTACCCGTCTCTGTCGTTTATCCTGATCATTTCGCTTGCTCTGGTCCAGCTTAAACGGAGATGGTTCTCGACTGAGACCAGCCATGACCCGCTCAGCAGCGCTAGACTTTAATCTGCCACTCGCGGGAGTACCGTTCCCAGACCCAGAGACAAATTCGATTGCATCACGGTCAGTCTTCTTCTCTCCCAGCTTGCGACGTATGGTCTGCTGGCTCTTTGACAGCTCATCTTTGTAGGCCCATGATGGGAGACTCGTAACGTTCCATATTTCCGCGGGCAAGGAAGTACCATATTGCGCCGTTTCGTCTAGCCCGGCATGCTTCATCAGGCTCTGAAGTAGGTTTGGATTTTTCAGTGACGAAGAAGAAGCCAGCTTCTCGTTAAAGTGGACGCCCTGTTTCTTCAAGGAGAGGAAATGTTCGAATTTCTTGTTCATTTCGGGATTGGGTGACCCTGGAGGAGACGGGGGGATGTCGAGATTTGGAAATGGAGGCAGCATTATGTCTCGTCGTAGTGCGCTAATGGAAATAAAAGACGGTGGTTTGTCGGATTGCGTGGTTTCTTCAGGCATTTGTGGTGGTAAAGGCCCAACTATAGGTTTGGTAGAATCATCCACAGGCTCGGTAGATGGTACGCTACATCCTACACAACTGTGAGAAGGATTGTCCATGGCATCAATTTGATGATATGCCTGACTGACCTGTTACTTCATTCTGCGTATCCTCGACCGGCTCTTTAGAGAGAGTCTTTGCCTCAAGCAAGCTGTCACTCTGTTTCTTGTGGTCACCCGCCAGTGCGGACTTTACACCACCAGTTGTGTCTTTCGTGCTCTCATCCTCACTGCTGCTTTCGTATGAGCCTAACCCAAGCATCATTCCACGGACGAATGCCAACAGGTAAGTCCGCAATAGCTCTAGCAACTTGACTGTGTCTTGTCCAGCTTGTTGTTTCTTTTCCTCCCGGTTCGGAGCAAAGTAGGAGGGAAGTGGCTTATGTAATCCAGGCAACTCCAGCTTGCGTTCTTCGAGCTTTGAGGAGCTTCAAGCAGAGCAAGTCAACAGTCAACAGCCAACAGTGCAATCCACAAAGTGATACCCGGCTTACTCCGTCTCTGGACCTCGAAAAACGTGTTGTTTTTGGCCGTATAGCAGCTCGACTCGTCAAGATGAACTCGCTATTAACCCACCCCGACCCTCACAGCCAGCCTGTTGGGTACTCTTTCTCAGAGCAGTCAAGCGGCGCCAAACAGCACAGCTTCTACCCGTAAGTTTCACATGCAGCATAGTAGTACGCTATACCGGGGACTAACACGCATCTTTGGCTAGATACACTGATAATGGTGGCTCTACTCTCGGCATTGCCGGTGACAATTTCGCTATCCTAGCAGGCGACACACGATCAGTATCTGGGTACAACATCAACACCAGATATGCACCCAAGGTATTCAAGATCGGCGCAGACGAGCACACCGGAGAAGGCGGCCACATTATTCTCTGCGTCGTCGGCTTCTCTGCCGACGGTCGAGCTCTCAAGGAACGACTCGACGCCATCGTCAAGATGTATGAATACCACCACAACAAGCCAATGTCCGTTAGAGCGTGTGCACAACGTCTATCCACGATCCTATATTCAAAACGGTTTTTCCCATACTACGTACATGCTATTCTGGCTGGAGTTGATGAAGAGGGCAAGGGAGCTTTGTACAGCTACGACCCTGTGGGTTCGTATGAGAGGGAGTTCTGCAGAGCGGCTGGGTCGGCGGCTAGTTTGATGATGCCTTTCTTGGACAACCAGGTCAATTTCAAAAACCAGTATGTTCCCGGCAGCGGTCAGGGTAACGCATCTGTGGCCAGGAAGCCCGAGCCTCTTTCCAGAGAGGGTGCGCAGCAGCTGGTACATGATGCATTCACTAGTTCTGTGGAGAGACATATCGAGGTTGGAGATGGGCTGCAGATAATGATTGTCACCAAGGATGGTATAGAGGAGGTATACCGCCCACTCAAGCGGGATTAAGCATGTTTTAATAGACGATATTACCAGCGCATCTTTCTCTGACGCACGCCTAAATGATGAAGTTTTAATCTGATATCAATGCATCTCTTAATATTCTCCTATTCGAGGCACGATTGAACTTCTTTTGTCTAAATCCCGTAGTAAAGGTATTCGCTCCCAACCCATATATTCCGTATCATAAAGGAAAAAGAATTAACACCGAATAATAGCATTCAAAATGCAGAGCCAAAACGCCGACATGAGACCGAATATCATAAGTTACTTTTAGAATCGTTCCTTCATTCGCGAGGCAACTGTACGTAGATTTCCATATACCTTGCCCTATACCAAAGTGTTAACCATGAACCAGGTAGATCTATGAGGTGAAGACAAACGTACCGGAGGGCTTCCTAGAATCAAGCTGACAATAGCTTCTCTAGCAACATGGATATTTCTGAATCCTCCGAGAATGTGTATCTTCTGGTCTGCAAGCACAACTCTAGTCCTGCTAGCATTCTCAATAGCGAATTTCGTCTTCCCATCTTTTCCTGCTATTCGGCCAATAGCTCTGCCCAAATGCTCGCCATTAAGCGTCTTGACATCCTTAATCTCAAACGTCTCAATGTAAAGATCGTCCAGTCGGAGAAGAGCAATAGCATCATCGGTATCAAACCCAAGAGTAAAGGCTTTGACAAAATCCTCACCCTTTTGGAGGGCTCCTGTATCGGTGGTGTGTTTCGATGTGCGCAGCTCAACTGCTCGGTTCTTCATGTTCATGCGCACTTGGAGTTTCAAATGCTCGACCAGTGGAGGATATATCTTTGGCCACTCGGCTTTAAGAGGCGTCAGGCGGTGAGGAGGGATCGGTACTTTGCGAGTTTCGACTCTGTATGCGTTGCCGGATGCTTTGATGGGTGTGAAGCGCAGTCGTCCTTCCTCGTCTACGGCCATTTCACTGTCTTCCTGGCCCTGTGGCTGCGGCACCGATGGCTCTTTCGGCTGAGCAGCACTTGTATCTATCATAATATCCTCTTCATCTGCACCATATAATCAGTATCTGCCTGCACCTTCATATCATCGCTGATAAGAAATTTCTGGGAGGACAAACTTTGGGCTGGCTGTAGAGCAGAAACCTCATTCTCCTCTGGTTTGTCCAGGCGCGCGGTGGGAGCTGGCATGGTTCCGATATATCTATTACCGTTCGGGCTATCCTCAAATCGAATCAAAAATTAAATGTAGGCCGTGGTCAAGTCACCGTCGATCGAGATGATGAAGTTGCGATAAAAATGATTCTTTCGATGGTGGGAAAATCCAGGATGCAAACAAGACAAACATCGCAATCTTATCAAAAAACCTGCGGAAGCTTGACGTATAAAATTTCTTGGACGGTATTTTCTGCTCTCGCTGTTGACGGAAGACTAGAAGCATCAATTTGAGCAAGGAGGCATTAGAGAAGCTTCTTAGGGCCGTTCATGATGCCAGAGGAGACATGTCAGGACATATAGGACGACGGCTGTTCTCGACGCTGCGCACCAGCTTTACCTCCGGCTTCCAGTCCAGCTTTCTCCAGCCCGGTCGACAGGGTGCTCTTGGTCCCTTTACAGAGAACTGCCATGGCTCGGCTTCCGGCTTCGATCTGTTTCGGAATCGGACGATACGGCGATTTTCGAGCTCGAGACCGAATAATGTGAGGAAAGTCAGCCGCCAGTTTGCATCGGGCGGACTGCTGGTGGTTGGTACAACGTCAACGAGGAGTGCAGCTACGGTAGAGACGGGAGCGGCAGCTTGTGCAGCAGCTTCGACGGAGAAGAGTGTTTACCATGGTTGCAGGAGATTTGGAAACAATTTGAACGGCCTGGGCCTTCACAGTGCGGCCAGCTGGGGATGGAGACGGTCCCTGCATACATCGAAGGAGGGAGGCGAAAAGGAGCATGCACCAGAATCGAGAAGACAGCAGCCATCAGAGCCATCCAACGTGAAGGCAGAAGCATCGAAGTCAGATTCTGGATCAGAGCCTCCAACTGAGCCTCCAAAGGCTGATGGAGGACATGGTCGATACCATCTGATGGACCGGCTACCGCATATGCATCGGCCTACGAAGGAAGAACTTCTAGCTGCCGCGACGGGATTCTGGTCGCGACTGAAAGTGCGATTCAAGTGGTTTTCCATCAGGAGTGTCCGGCCATTCAATGTTGATGAAATTAGTACTTTTTTCTCCTGGGTTCTGCTTGGGCATGTGTTGTGGATTATACTGGGGACGACGACCTTCTTCTCACTCATTATCTTTACTATCAATACCGTTTTTGCGCAGGGTGAGTTATTTATCAATTTCATGAAGAAGAAAGCACCGTTGCTGACAGCTGTTAGAAACCCTTGCAAGATGGATCGGTAACTATCTAACACGTTCATCCGGAGTGAAAGTTGTCTTTGAATCGGCAATTGTGCCCAAATGGGGTGACGGAGTGATAACCTTCAAGAATGTGTTTGTCTCCCGCAGACCAGGCCAAGGAAAAGGGAATGTGAGCAAAGGATCATCGAAGACAGCTGCCGCTGCCGCATTCCAAGAGATGGATCACCCTCGCCAGCAGAATGACGAAGAGACAGAGGACTCAAACTACACGCAATTCGATGTCTCTATAGATACGGTCAACGTGACGCTATCCTTTACCAAATGGTTTAATAGCCATGGTCTGCTGAAAGATGTGCATGTCAAGGGCATTCGGGGTATCGTCGACAGAACGCATGTCAAATGGTCAGAAGCAGATGCTCAGATAGATCCCAAATCATACCGGGTAGAGCATAACCCCGGCGACTTTGAGCTGGACTCGTTTAAGATGGAAGACGTCCTGGTCACTATATATCAGCCTAACAACTTCCGGCCATTTACCCTCAGCATCTTCTCATGCGACCTACCACGGCTACGACGACAATGGCTCATGTATGACTTCCTGTCTGCAAACATGATGTCTGGTTCGTATGATAATTCTCTATTTACCATCCACCCTCGCCAAACACATCGATACACGGGAACCCAGCTACAGGGCGGTCTAGAAGAAGATGGTGGCCGCAGTCCCTGGAAGAAACATAATCGGATCCGCATAGACGGTCTGAACATCGACCATCTCAACACGGGAGTCCAAGGCCCCTTCTCATGGATCCATGAGGGCACTGTCGACATTGTTGCCGACCTTATGCTCCCAGCCGAATCAGACGAGAGTCTAGGCAAGGTCATGTCCGATTTCTACGATAGGATGGAAGCCACTGTTACTGCAGACAGGTACCATCCGAATGATAGCGCACTGGCCCGGAACGAAGACAATAAGCGATTTGTGGTCACTGACCTACGCATACACTTGAACAATGTACGCGCGGTAGTGCCTATTTTCAACCGGGACTTGTCATACGTTAATAATGCCCTGATCAGGCCCATAGTGGCGTATATCAACAGCCGACGAACTTTCATCCCCATCCAGTGCCGGCTAGTTAAGCGAGCCAGCGACTTTGATGGTAGCTGGACCATCTTCGACAGCGGACTGATGGACGATCTCTCTGCAGAGGTGTGTACTTACTTACTCTTTCTTTCTCATACGCAGCCCAAGCTAACTGGCCCCTTACAGACATACGATGCCTTTGCACGAGACGTTGTCGACGAGCAGGCTCGGACACGACGCTTCAAGAAGGTCGGCCTTTGGTCTCTCCAGCTCGCTGCGCAGGCCATCTTCATGGGCATGGCCGGCAATATCATCTAGTACCTGCCATCTACCGCCACCATTACCAACATCGCCATCTCCTCCACCACATCCACCTCGTCATCTCTTCTCATCATGACCTGATTTTTTTTTCTGTACTTGACCGCTCGGTGTTGGGAGTTGCCATTCCGTTAGTGTATTTTATCAAGTCTTCTTCATATTCTGCGGGTGTCCGGGGGTGGGTAGCACGTATGGCGAGGAAACGTCTGTGTAAAAAAAGAGCCAACTTTCTAATGTCGAACCTGCATTTCCTATGCATATCAAGCATCTGTCAAGTCCTTGTCAATCGTTCTCCATCCATTTCTCCGCCACCAGTCGCCTCTCGCGATCACAAAAAAAAAAAAAAAAAAAAAAAGAATAATACGAGATTGGCAGCACAGAAGCGTGGAAGCCAGCAGTGCCCACATCTCGTATTCCCTCGCCTTCTTTTTGGGCGTTTGTCTTTCTTCTTCCCCAGGCCGCTGCTTTCTGCTGTATCTACTGCATCTGCATCTCGTCTTGTCGTTTGCGACCTGTCTCGACCGGCCTGCCCCTGAGCTCCTATTCTTATCCTGCGGGTGAGTACAGACCTACGACGTGCAGCATGCAGCCCTGGTGATGCATGTGTGAGGGCCAGAGACGCCACAGAGAGCTGCAGCCAGTCGTGTGCGAGGTGGGTGTTCGTCCTTCTCTGGCCGGCCCACGCAGTTGCGGGAGCTCTCCATCGATAGCACTTATAGTACTGCCGTAGACGCCGTTCACTATGCAGTAGACAAGCGGTGATGCTGTCTAGAAAGCAGAGAAGAGAGAGAGTGAGTGACTCGAAGTAGTTTTTAAGTAGAAGAGCGTGACCTGGTCGCCTGATTAGGAAATAAACAACTACATCTCGTCGACTTCACCTCCGGCCAGCGCAACAACATCTTAAACAGAGCAAGACAAGACGGACAGACAGACAGACGCAGCTCCAGGTACCAAAGCGACCCTCCAGCGCTCCGGCGGTGCTTCTCTGCTAACCCGTTGATAGTGCAGGACTCGGCGGGCCCCATATTTAGCATCTCCGCTAGGTACATGCCTTAGTCCGAGGATGGCGCCTTTGAGCCCCTGAGCAAGCCCGCAGACAGCAAGCCAGAAAAGCCAGAGGAGCCGTCCCTCCCTTCTCGCGGCGCCTCCAGCAGAGAGAACTCCCTCTCTCGTTTCTGTCGATGATAGGGTAGTTAGGTAGAGGAGCTGTCTATCTCTGACCATGTCGTATGTCCGGCGTCAGCGTCAAGATGCCCTGGCACACGCCCTTGCACAGCAGCCAGGTCCATCCCTTCACGAAACAGCCCCAGTCCCACCAGTTGATTCTGCTGCTGCGTCTTCTTCGTCTGCTGTGTCTGTTGCCTCTGCTTCTCCCCTGACGATGAATGGCAGCTCTGGCCAACAGCGGCAGCAGCAGCAGCAGCAGCAGTACCACTTCCGGCCGCAGTACGGCGTGCAGAAAGAGCAGCAGTATCAGGTGAAGGGAGACGGCCGCCCCCCTGTTCGCTACTCAGCCGCTCCCGTGCTCTCTCGTCCGCTGTCTACCCATGCGCTGCACCCGTCCTATTCCTCACATTTACACCATCATCTACCAAACCAACAGCAACAACAACTACCCCGGCTGCCCCAGGATGCCCTGAACATCCATACCGATAGCAGACTAGCCCACACTCAACGTGCTCTTCCTCAGACGGGGGCCGCATCACATCCTTCCTCACCTCTTCCTCCTGCTGCCCCTTCGCCCTCCTCGTCCTCTCCAGCCGCCAGACTGGATACCTCAGTCTCCTACTCCCCTTTTCCTCGCCAGTCCCAGACGACGCCGACCTTTCACGCTCCCAACAACAGAGTTAGCCCGGTCTCTTCTCTGTCCCCTTCTCCTTCTGCCCTCTACTTCCACGAGCGCATGGCGGGCCAGCACCAGGGTCAGGGGGCGAGCCAGGCGCTTTCGCTACGTCTGCAACGGTCTAGGGAGCTGATGGTTACCAGCAGAGAACCAGAGGGAGGAGAGAAGGGAAGCGAACGGAAGGGGTCAAGTACAGACAAGGACGATACATCACACTCACACTCACCTTCAGATTCAGTCTCCATGTCCGCCGCTTCTGGTTCTACTCCCAATACGTCACCCATCATGCCTACGAGCACAACAAACAACCACCAACAGCAGCAACCGGTTTCCACCAGCAAGCCTGTATCGACCTCATCGACCCCAAAACCCACGCCGCGCACTTCTTCCATAGACTCCGCGATCTCCTCTCTCTCTTCCGTCTCCCATCCAACAACCCACTCGCACAAATCTTCCGTCGACAGCCCCGCCATCACTTCCGCAGACATCAGCAACCTGATTTCGGCCGCTAACGGCTCGCCAGAGGCTGTTATTGCACATCTAGTTAAAGAGAAACAGCAGGCTGTCTCTCAAAACTCGCAACTATGGAGACTTGTGGAAAAACAGCGCCGCATGGTCCTGGCGCTCAACAAGGATCTAGAGCGTGCGATGGAGGACAAGGATAGACTGAAGAAGAAAATCAAAGAGTTGGAAAAATGGAAGGAGGATACCATCAAAGTAGAAGCCGACAGAAATGCGACTGAAACTCCTAACGGTCACCCCGAAGAAGGCCCTAAGGATGATGCTTCTCTGGCGGCTAAATTGCCAGTGCAGACCCCGGTCTCCGAATCACCCCCTAAATCACAACCCACGCCGCCGTCACGCCGTGCACCTCCAGCACCCTTGCAGCTCTCTGGCAGCCAGCGTCTTCGTCCCCATATCGAAGTAGAGCACTCGAACAACCTGTCCTCTAGCAGTAACTCCAACGCAGTCGCATCAGACTCCGAATACGATTCAACCGCCGAAGAGAATGACCTTCCTACCTTCGAACGCGGCCGTCGGAAAACCCGCGAAGAGGATGACCGGCTACGAGAAGCCATGCTTGCGCAGAAGGAGAAAGAACTGCCTAAATCAAAATCGATGTCAAAGTCAAAGGGCCGCAGTCAGTCAGACAAGAAGGCGAAAAACATCAACCCACCTGAAGCCCTCCAGAGGGAACAGGCACAACAGGAGGCCCGGATCGGACCTGCACCTGCCACTGGATTTGCTGGTCTGGGATTACCTGCTAGCCCTCGTGCATCTGTCCCACCTCCCTATGCTGTCAGGCAAGCTGGACAAAGCCTGGCATCCATCCTGGGCCCTGTGGATGGCCCTAAATCTTTGAGGTCGAGACTTACCAAGGCACTGCCAATGAGTCCTGGATTGCCGCAAAGCCCACGGCCCGGTGATAGACCCATCGGATCTCCTATGCCGCGTATGCCTAGAGAAGGGCATATGAATATCTCAACACCTCTGCGAAATGCGTTCCCAACACCTTTCCAGGCCTCTCAGTCGCAGCAACCTACTAATCCTCACATTCATCAATTAGTACAACATGAAAAAAAGGGGTCAACAACTTCCACCTCCACCTCCACATCAACATCTACCACTATACCCACCATCGACCCTGCTGTGCAGATTGATAGCTCAACTCCCACCGCCGCTACCACACCAAAAACCATATACCGTGGCCTTGTATCGGATGAATACCCGGATCTGCTACTCCCACCTAATTCATTACCTTCAATCCTCATTCAAGTCTCTTCTTCCCGTCTCCGCCCATCACGGCAGAGTTATATGAACCTTAATTCTTCCTCAGCAACTGAGCGTGGCAATCTCGATGAAGACCCTGTATTCACACTCAGTGTTTTTGCTCGCTCGTCTAAGTCGGAGTTATGGCGGGTTGAAAAGCCCATCGTAGCTCTTCCGCAGCTGGACCAGCAGGTAAAGGCTTTATGTAGGTTTTCTGGCCGGATACCAGACCGATCTGTGTTCAGTGGGTATTCACCCGCAAAGGTTGACGAGAGACGTGCTGCATTAAATAATTATTTCGAGGCGCTGCTCGACACGCCTATGGATGATGAGGCTGCGTTGGTGATTTGCCGATTCCTCACTGCTGATGCCATTGAACCAAGGGATGATGAGATGAGTCTCGCGTCGGGAGGTGGAAATGTCATTTCTTCTACTGGTGGCTCCCGAGATGTCAAGGCAACTATCCAGGTAGGAAACGATGGCAAGCCAAAGATGGAAGGGTATCTCACCAAGCGTGGTAAAAACTTTGGTGGCTGGAAGTCACGGTATTTCGTTCTTCATGGGCCAGAGCTGAAATACTATGAGCACCCAGGTGGTACACATCTGGGCACCATACGCATCCAGCATGCTCAAATAGGCAAACAGTCCAGTCAGAGCAAAAACGGCTCTTCTTCGCAGGCCGAAAACTATGATGATAACCAATACCGCCATGCGTTCTTGATATTGGAACCAAAAAAGAAGGATTCAACCTCTCTTGTCCGCCATGTGCTTTGCGCAGAGAGCGACGAAGAGAGAGATGCCTGGGTTGATTCTCTGCTCAGTCATGTCGAACAGATCGAGGGGGAAGACGATGATAAAGATAAGGAAACACAGATGGACAAAGACGGCAAAGATGAAACAGCGAATAAACCCCGCACACCCCTGAACAACTCAAGCGCAAACACAAACGCGACTAAAAAAGGATTATTTAAGGATTCCTCAGACGGCCCTGAGGCTGAGGGCCTTCGTGCGCTAAGCTATGATGATGTTGTGGCTGCCGAAGCGCCAGTTAGGGGTGTACCCCAGGGCTACGAGTCCACCGACTCCCTTGCAACACCGCAATCTCACCTCGACCAAGCTATGCCAGTGACCCCTTCATTTAAACAGATCTCGGGTCCCACGAATGGGGTTAAGATCCAAGATCCATCGGCTTGGGGCAACAAACCTAGCACTATGTCTTCTGTGAAGGAGAAGAAGCGCAGCATTTGGGGCTTTTCTCGTCAGGCTGCTAATGATTCCGTTAGCTCCACCTCCCGCCAGGATTCAATCAGCGGAACAACGACACCCGGGGGTGGGAATGGAAGTGCATCTTCTCTCGAGCATAAGGAGACCGTACGTGCTGTATTCGGATTGCCCCTTGCAGAGGCCGTGGAATTCTGTGCATGTCCTGAGCCTGGAGCTGATACTACTCTTCCCGCTGTCGTATACCGATGTCTCCAATACCTTCGTGCTCGCAAGGCCGAGTGCGAGGAAGGCATCTTCCGTCTTAGTGGCTCTAATGTAGTTATTAAGGGTCTTAAGGAACGGTTTAATACCGAAGGAGATTTGGATTTCTTGGAAGGAGACGTATATTACGATGTCCATGCTGTGGCTTCGTTATTCAAGCAGTATCTTCGGGAATTACCGATCACGGTACTAACCAAGGAGCTTCATTTGGATTTCATTAGGGTTCTAGGTATGTATTAGCATTCCCTTTTTTGGATTTTGTTTACCCTAATCCCGTACGTACAACATGCTAACCTACTCCTAGATCTGGACGACAAGCAAAAGAAGATTGCTGCGTTCCACACTTTGGTCCACCGTCTACCAAAGCCAAATATAGCACTCCTCAAGGCCCTCTCCGAATTCCTTATTAACGTAGTCAACAATTCAGACGTCAACAAGATGACGGTTCGAAATGTCGGCATCGTCTTTGCTCCAACGCTCAACATCCCTGCCCCTGTCTTCTCTCTATTCTTATCGGACTTTGAGCTAATATTTGGCGATACTCCGCCATCCTTTCCACAAGCTCGTGGCTCATCCCCCAGCTCTCCTCCTGGGACTGCCCCAGGCTCGGGGTCAGGGCCAGGAAGCCCTGGCTCTATCGTTGAAGTCACCGTCGAGTCTCCAGGGCTAAACCCGGAAGACATACGCTCCCCACGACATCAAATGTTCTCTGATTTGCCATGTACACCTGCTTACGACCAGAACTCTTTCCACGGTCAATCCAATGACGCTAATGCTTACCGACTTGCAAAAGAAAACTACGATATCAACGCTGGTTTCGTACCCATTCACTCACATCAACACCAATATGACCCTTCCACAACTCCAATGAACGTGAACGTCAGCCGAGACGGCCAGTTCGGTGGCTTGGACGGCATGTTGGCGCCATCAGGCAGCTCCTCACAACCGAGCAAGTCAAAACGTCGCGAGAGCTCTCTGTTGTTCATGTCACTTGGAAGCAGGAAGACCTCCTTGCCTAAGATTCGTGATGAAGAATAATTCCAGACCTGACTTGAACCTCATAATCTATTCCACCATCTAACTATCGAAGCATCTTCTCACCTGCATTGACATGCATTTCCTATTCTGCTTTTCTTTTCCTCTATTTTTTACCCTTTACCTCTTTTTCTTCCAGAGAATCGCGCTTGCGGTTAGTAAGCGAGTAAGCAAATGCCTATTCTTCCATCCCTTTTCCCTCTTATGGGTGGCTTCTGTGATTTCAATCCAAATCTACTTGACATTTCAATCATGTAATTTCATAATCTTCTCCTTACCTACTTTGCCTTTACCTCTTCCTTTCTCTTCTCTGCAAGCAATTTTGATTCTTCTACAGCATCCTTTACGCTCTCTCCCTTTTTCTAAATATGGAGACAAACGGATATACCCATTTGCCTTGTTTCATTCCCCCCGCTCACTCTTAATATGTACTTGATCACGGCTGTTGGCTAACAGGTTTAGCCTCGATGCACTTGATTACCAAGTGATTTGCACATTAAGATAATACTAACTCCTTCCCTATACATTTTTACTATAACTATTTTATATCAAGTACAGACAGTAATCATTGACCACTATAAGCTTAATGCAAACAGTTTATGAAATATGCAATCGTAAATATACATTATTAATGACACTCCACCTTCCGTGTCACCATCAAGCAGCATTCCGCTGTCCACAGATGGAGATAAAAGAATAGACAGGAAACAAAATCAGGCCGTTCAAAACCTTCTTGTCCTTTGCCCACCCCAGAATCCCATCACTTCTCCACTCTCACTAACCCATTCCCTAACACCATCCACTAACGCCTTTGCCATTCCTTTGGTTTTGATCTTAGATGAACTGGAGCTGCTGTCACCGGAAACGCTAACACCTGACGACACTGATCCAGTCGCATACTCCGAACCCATGCTGGGCAACACATTTTCTCCAGCACTCAAGCTAACAAACAGCGCAAATGGAATCAACCATACGCACAGTCCGAAGTATGAGGCTATTTCACCAAATGAAGGCGTGTCCACGGCCGCGCCGTAGTAATACCCTCCGCCGGAACTCTTCCATCCCCCACGATTCCATGATGTAGGAGCACTGCCTCCGCTAGAATTATATTCCGGGCTTGAGAAGTATCGGAACCACAGCCAATGATTCAAACCAACAAGCACGCATGAGGATAAGAAAATGGGATCAGAAAGCTTGACGATTGGGAACCGTCGAAGGTTGCCGGCATAAACTATATGGGAAAAGATGCTGAGGATAGTGAGATAGAATGGGAATCCATCTATGAGCCAGAGAAGAGCATGGACGGTTATTATAGTGTATATCAGTCGTGTTAGAAGACGCCGAGCTAGGACGGTATGTTCTTCGACGAGTTCGGATAGATAGTATAGACCGGAGGCTGGTGAGATGTTAGTCTTGAGATTATGGAGAGGTATATAGGAAGTGATATTACCTATAGCTAACGTCAGGAAGCAGAATCCTATTATCACCCCCAGGTACCCTAATAACGGTAGAATCCACATGGTTGAAGCTATACTTGGAATAGTTGAAATGCAGCTGATGACAGTACGAAGGCCTGAGGACAGCCGTGTCTTGATCGGGAGATATTATATAGCCATTCCATGCGCCACCAGAGTAGTCACCGGCGCGTATTATCTCGTCTTTGGCTTTTCTTCGTCTTCGCCGTCATCGACTTTGCTGGCAGCTTTGGAAACGATAACCTAAACAGCCAGATAACTCGTTAGTTAACGCGGCGAGTTATGCTTAACTAATTTGGTAAAATCTTAACGCCGCTTTACAGACCTTATTTTCCCCACGAAATCTTTTTTTACTTTTAATCTCGAAATTTTGACAGAAAAGAGGAAAGATAGCCTACAAACCGGCAGCGAAGATATAGAGCTCTATTAATAGCTGGAGTACAGGAGAGTTCTTCATTGGAAGTGTTTTGCACGATTTCACGCGCGGCCATGTCTCGTCCGGAAGATACTCTGTATGTGTATCGGAAACCTTGTACAAGATAACTGCTAACTGATATGACCGATTAGCCCGCCGGACCTCTTCTACAATGACGCTGAATCTCGCAAATACACGTCCTCTTCCCGGATAAAAAATATCCAGTCTGAAATGACGCATCGAGCCCTGGAGCTACTGGAACTTACATCTCCCTCACTAATTTTAGATGTTGGTTGTGGCTCAGGTCTGTCGGGTGAGATACTGTCGTCCATCGACCCATCTGAAGGTGGCCCGCATACTTGGATTGGCATGGATATATCTCCTAGCATGCTCGATGTAGCACTTCAACGGGACGTGGAAGGTGACCTCTTCCTAGCCGACATCGGACAGGGCGTCCCCTTCAGACCTGGAACCTTTGACGCAGCCATAAGTATCAGTGCGATTCAATGGCTTTGCAACGCCGAGACAAGCGATGTAAGCCCCGAGGGTCGACTCAAAAGATTTTTCGAGGGACTATACGCTTCTCTAAAACGCGGTGGTAGGGCGGTATGCCAGTTCTATCCCAAGAATGATTCTCAGAGAGGCATGATCAGCGGCGCCGCTATCAAAGCCGGGTTTGGCGCCGGTATACTTGAAGATGACCCAGGCACTAAGAACGGGAAGACATATCTAGTACTTACCGTTGGCGGAGGTGGACTGCAGGGTGATATCACTGGTGTTGTCAAGGGAATGGATGACGTTGATATCCTGGACGCCAGAAGGAAAGCTAGGGAGGCCGCCAAAGGTCGTCGAGGCCCAGATCAATCACATATCAAGGGAACCAAAGCTTGGATATTGAGGAAAAAAGAACAGATGGAGAAAAAGGGCAAGGTTGTCAAGGCAACTTCGAAATATACCGGACGAAAGAGACGAATTGCGTTTTGATTAAGCCCTCATGCTTTCAGTTCTCTTAATACCTTCCTGCTTGAACATGACAAAGCAACCCGATGCAGAGTTCGTTGGCTATGATCTAGCTTAGGACGCCCGTTTGTGGCTGTTAATGCGCCGGCTTAGCGCTTTATGCCCAAGAGATCTCCCATATTTCAACCGGAGTCTCGCCAGAGTCTAGAAGTACAAAGTCATCGCGACTCCGGCGCCGCCCAAGGCTGACATCACCTCATCATGCTACAGAATATTGCGCCCTAACAAACTCTATCTTCCTTCATCTTATCTACAATCGAGGATTTTTGAGATGCACTTCATGCAGAGTGCTATTATCTAAGATACTTGGGCAAAGGATACCTGACCTCTGCTTATCTATAGCCATTCATGACCCAGTTTTGAACACGAATGAAACGAATACATTCAATTTGCTTTGACATTTAAACCAACCTAGATTTATTCTCATAAAACTGCGCACTTCGAAGAGCATCACTAGAAGTTATATGTCCTTTTTTTTTGTATTATCGCTATGGGTAAACAAACAATACAGGAAAAGTCTTAATCTACAGTCATGCTTCGAGCGGGTCGTTTAAACAGCAAAGAAAAAGAGAGATCCCGTACTTCAAAAAAAAAGGTAACAGGTAAATGAACAGATATGTGAGGTTTGAGGAGGGTAGGGGAGGGAGTGGTTTGGAGCAGGTGATTAAGGGCGTTCGCTATCAGGAATGCGGCGCTTATTTACTTTAATGCATTGCGGACTTTTGTCTTATTATATTGACGACCGGCGACTTAATGTGGTAGCGAATGATGTTTAGAGCTGGGCCTCCATCTTATCGAGGACGGCTCGGGTGAACTCGTGGGTAGTAGCCTGACCTCCCATGTCACGAGTTCGAACAGCACTATAAAAGTAATGTTAGCGATATATGATTTAGTTTAGAGCGATCAGTAGTAAAAACGGCTTACCCTTCACCAATGACATCGTAGACAGCCTTGGAAATGCGGTTGGCATGGTCGTCCAGGCCAAGGTGGCGGAGGAGCATGGAACCAGAAAGGATCAAGGCCGTTGGGTTAGCCTGGTCCTTACCCTGGATATCAAGACCAACGTGACGGCAACCGGGCTCAAAGACAGCGACATCTCGTCCCATGTTGCATCCAGGAACGATTCCGGGGCCACCGACCAAAGCAGCAGCAACGTTGGATAGAATACCACCATACAAGTTGGGCATGACCATGACATCGAATTGCTGCGGTCTAGACACAGCCTGCATAGAAGCATTGTCGACAATCATGTCGTTGGTTTCCAAAGTTGGGTAGTTCTCTGCAACCTTCTTGAAAGTGCTGCGGAAGAGACCATCCGCAAGCTTCATGATGTTGGCCTTGTGGATACAGGTAACCTTCTTGCGGTTGTTGGCAAGAGCAAAACTGAACGCAAACTTGGCAATGCGCTCGGATTTGGCGCGGGTGATAATCTTGAGAGACTCGACGACTCCATTGACGGGCTGGTGCTCGAGGCCGGAGTATTCACCCTCGGTGTTCTCACGGATGATGCAGAGGTCAACATTGTTGTGGCGGGTCTGGTAACCGGGAATGTTCTTAATCAAGACAATGGAAGCATAGATGTCGAGCTCCTGTCGAAGGGCGACGTTGAAAGACTGGTGGCCAGATCTTTCAATTGGAGTGTGAAGAATTCCTTTTAGTCCAAGCTTGTTTCGTCGTAGGGAGGCGATAGATTCCCTGAAAAGGTCTTCAGAGTGCTTGTTTCCAGAGTCAACACCGCTAACATCGACTTGTTCCCACTCAATGGGGACGTTATCTGCCTTGAAAATGGTCTTGACGGACTCCGCAACTTCCACACCAATACCGTCACCTATTATAGTAGTAGACTTGCGGTTAGCCTTAACGGAGCTTCGGGACAAAGAGAACAAGGGAATAACGGAAAGGAAAAGTAGGAAAAGTAAACAAGAAGCCAATTGCTAGCTAGGAAAAGTTCAAATATTGTTGTAGTCTGCGGTTTTGGAGGGTACATACCAGGAATCAATGTTACTGTGTATTTGCCGCCATACTTAGTCGGCTTGAAGATATCCGACTGGACGGTGGCCATGTCTATACATCCATTGTGTGGTCAGCAATGCCTCAAACGACACGGAGTCGCCGGGAGAAGCTCACATCTGGCACCTCCAGAGGCACGAGAGAGACATGACGAAGAACCGGCAACGCTTCGCAGGACAGACTGTGCGATAGTGAGAGCTGCGTTAGCGGGGCATTAAAAGCCGAATACCAAGGGAACAGCGAACATACCTGCGCAGGGCGAGCAGTCCGGAGGGAGAACATGGTGGCAAGCAGCTTACGATCCCGTCTGAATGGCTAAAACATCGAACACAAGAGAGAGACGTCTGGATATGAAAACCGGGGCTTCAGGTTTTTTCCTCTTCTTGGGTTGAAATTTGTTTCGCGAGAGTCGCATTTTCTGCCGGAGCTTCTCTCTCCGCCTGTAACGCCGGAGAATTAGGTAAGCTATAGGGATCATTGTTATCCCGAAGCCGGTCACGAGGAGTCGGCCCGCGATGTCCCGACGTCACTTTATCAAAAAGAACTTGGACGACAGCAGAGAAAAAGGGGTCAGAGCAGATGATGGAAGATGTCGGGGAGTCGAAGGGACTCCTACGATGGACTCGCTCTGAGGAACCAACTGTCTTTACCTGCTCAAATCGTGGCTCACCATCTGCGGATGTAGCCATCTAATCCATTATTCAGAGGGATTTGCACTGCAAGCCGAAGAGGCTGTTCAAGCCATCATACCCAGACCCTTCTTGACTAGCCCGTTTGGATAAATTGTCTCGAATACAATGCATTGACCAGCAAGCTCATGCTGCTGGATGTTTGCAGGCACAGTCCTTGTCCACTCCTTGTTCACTGAAACCTGAGCTTCCAGATTGAAATGAATAAAACCTAAACCGTTGACCGATTGATGCTTGTGTGCAAAACAACTTTTAAAGGACCAAGATAGACGCGCTTCTACAGAATCGAAAAGAAAGCCCAAGGAAGCTGGAGGATGTCTTTGTTGATATCACGTTCACCGGCCAAAATCATGGACCACGGGCCACAATGCCATCCCGCAACCCCAACGTCGACCAGGCGAGAGAATCCACCATTACGAGGCTTCGGTGAAAACTGCGCTGTTTATTGCCATCTCAGCTAACATTTACGGTATCCCATGGTATCTCTTAGTATCTTGTTGCCCGTCTTTGAATAAACCGTGAAGTCCAAGATTTTACCTAATCGGGACTAGCGCACTGGATCCTTATTGAGACCCAAAAGCGGAAGCTAGTCTGTCAATAAGCAAAGAACACTGTTTTTACAAGAGACTATCTTCTTATTGAGGTACCAAAGCGGATTCGAACTGCCTTTCATCTTCACGTCCGCTGGCTGTCTCTTACTTTGGTGGTGACTATGCAGACTCTGACCTTTATAAAAGCTCTGGTTGAGAGACACAACCTGGACACGGACACGGGTAGCTGTTATTCAAGACGGTCGAGACCACGTCCTGGCCTTTGGCACCACCGTGGAACGCTTGGGAAAGACTTATTCCCCGAGCTAGGCTTGCCTCCTTTCCTTTATGCTGGTGCATGAATCTCTTTCAGACCTCATGTCATGGGCCTGTGGTTCTTGCGGCATTTCACTCCCATTTTGCTTCGACTTTAGCTGAAAACGCAACGGTCTAGGTAGTCCGAGGTGAAGGCCTCCGCTTGACTCTATGGAGCACTAGGACATACAAGCCCTTATTCCATAGGTTCATTGCGTCTCTAGAACCCCAGTAACTCCTGGTTACTGAAGCTAGGACACCTTTCCTTCGTTTACAATACCCCCTTATTGGCTCCATTCCTCGTGGTTTCTATTCTCCACGTTTCTCCCAGACCCAGCTCGTCTGAAGTATCTGAGTGATATTCACCCGGTCTATTGAGCAATTGATGCCTTCTTCCCCTTCAATCAACTGGAAAACCCCTCAGCAAAATTCTCCCAGGCCCTTCCTCAAGGAGTGCCTATAAAGGAGGCGTCCCATGCATGCTTCATGCATGATTCTTTTCCTTGATATTTCCTACACAGAGCCCAGGTTCTTTATCAAGTCTCTTCAAGATCATCTCTTGAAACAAAGCCTTCTTAAGCACTTAGCCACATCTCTTATTTTATTTCCAAGAGTCTTCCTCTCTTCTTCAAATCAGCAATCATGAAGCTCTTCGCCTACATCCTTGCCATCGCTGCTGCTTCTGTAGCCGTGATTGCTGCCCCAGCCCCTGCTGCCGAAGTTGCCGAAGCTCAGCTTGAGGCTCGTGCCCCTGAGCCCGTCGGTAAGTCGTTAAAATACGCCCCGTCTGATGCCCTGTACTGACCCGTTCTGTAGTTGAGAAGAAGTGGTGCCATATCCCCGGCCAGCCCTGCTAGATACCTCTAGCAGCCCAACTGCCACACCAGTCATGGAAACCCCTGGGGTTCAAGCCATGGCTTGGATAGTGGCAGGACAATCGGTGTGGTGTGAGAGTTCTGTGTGTATGAGCTACCGCCGGCGTGCGGCTATCCGTCCGTCAGGATAACTTTTGTTCTTTTTTCGCTGTACCTATTCGATATTTTGTGTTTTTCCAGACCGAGCTTCGTTCCGCCGTCCTGCCATCAATATCCTTCACTCATCCGTCAACAACATACGATTATATCGGACTACGGCATTACTTGCAGCATTGTTCGAGCCCCTCGCATATTTCTTAGGGAGACAGCCCTTATATAAGGCGGAACGACACCACTATATATACGAGCGAGTGCCCACCTTTATACCCATACACCCTTTTGATATATGCAGGAATATATCGTTCTCATTGCTTCCAACACAGTGCAGCGTCGGCAGTTTTGACAAAAGGACTAAGAGGAGGAATTTCGATTTTACATGACAGTTGACGCTGAGACCTGGCCAGTTTTCTTTTCTTTGGAGTACGTGGGTTCTCGGTCCAGTATCATCCCAGGGTGGCTATACTACATGGTCTTGGGTTATCATTACTGAGTGTCTGGAAAGGGGTTCAACAATGCTACTGATTGGTCCAATTTCCAACCTTCTTTCCAGCCTCCCTTTTTTGTTTATACTTACTCACCTTCCTGCTTTTTATATCACGGAAGTTTGGCTTTTATATGGCCATGTACACCCTTTTCAATCTTACCATATATCTGCCTTGCTCTCTGTTATACTCCAGCTATCAGCTTTTCAGTTTTCCTCTCTTTACACTTGAATAAGGGCTATACAATTTTGTATCCAAGCCCATTATTCTTAGTGTTGCTGTATTAATAAGATGAAGGTGACTGATCTTGCTATTCGATCATTCATAGCTAAATAAATATATATTTCTGTTTGTCTACTGTCCTATTCTCCAAGAATCTTCGGAAACTGGTTGCAACTGAATTTCTTTATGTACTCGACTCACAATTTACCCAACTTATCGGTCACTGTGCTCAGTTTTGTAATCCAGTCCTTGTATTTGCCATGTGGATGAGATTGTACAAAGAATCACAAAAGGCGTACGAAGTTTCACAAACATAACTTGGCTTCTTACATATGCAGACGGTCGATCAAAAACGAACGCCTCAAGGTTTCTTTGAAAACCCCAAATCAATAAGTCACATTAGACCAAAGTTCGTACTACATAGAAGTTGATCATGTAAAAAACAAGTACCATATTGGATCTATTGAAATATCGAGGCACTGCCCGTCTAGAATACAAGGAGCCCTTGAGAAGGCGAACCACATGGGAGTCTCGCCGCCTTTTGATTTGGCGAAATTGAATTTGACCTGACAAGATATGTATTCCTGTCCTTCATCATTTCGTTTTATTCTTTACAACAATTGCTTAAGTGCTTTGTACTAAGCCAATATTGAACGAAGATGTTGAATGATAAATGTGAATATGACATCTCCCCATAATCTCGGAAACCGTAAGGCGCTTAAATCATAAATGGCGCTTAATCCAAGCCAATCGTAGGTAGTATTAGCCGCTAAAGCCGAAGTCATCTAGACCGTTTTAAACGCAATGAACCGAAATAAGCGCCATTTAAACCGTCATGACGTCATGGTCCTTACAGAAACTGAAACTTCTAAGTATGGCAAAAACACCTCTGTCCAGATGCAAGAAAGCTGTATACATTGACACTTTCAATGTTTGAAGCTATAGCCTTCTTTTATCTTATACCCATCATTAGCGAAAAATGACTTTAAACCAGGTGTGCTTTTCGACTCAAGAGAGAATATGACCTCGGTAAACTGACTTTCTACTCAGCTTAACAGGAAAAACGCAGGCTTTTCGCCATGCCCATGCCCTGATACAATGCCAGAGGAAGTAAGAGCTTTTCTGAGATCATGGGCTGCAGCTTTCAACAACTCCCGGTAGACCATCCTACGATTCAAGAGATGCCTATTTCTTTCGAGGGCTTTGGGGAGGCACTTTACTGCGCCAATGCCGATGATGTTGAGCTCTTCTTTATCAAAAATTCGGCACATAGAACCGGCGCTACCCTTTCTCTTGCTTTATTTTCATGGTCAGCTCTATCGAAGGAAAAGGTGTGTAAGGTATACAGCTCCTAGAGACTCTGCAACCACTAACTTTGAAATCAGGACAGAATAGACGAATCTCGGAGGGCTGAGGAAGATAAGGTATGTAGCATATTGTGGAAAGAAGTGGACTACACCCTGCTGACGCTCAATGAAGAAGGCAATGGCGGAGCAAAAGGAATAAGAGGAGGTATGACGCATATTTTATAAAGCAGTGAACTGCACCGCTGCTAACAGAGAATGCAGAAAGTAATTATGGAGAGACAAGAGAGGTGGGATCAGGTATATATTATGTTTTCTATAAAGCAGTGAACTACACTCTACTAACGCTAATGCAGATGACATGGATTGAGAGGTTCCTTAAAGCGGCTATAACAGATGTAGGTGTTCCATTTCCTATAAAAGTTTTGCTCAAACTACTAACCCCAGAATTTAATAAACTAAAAAGACTGTAGTTTTCACAATCTTGCCTGTTATTTTTATGTGCGGCTTTGGGCTCGTATTATCCTTAATTATACGGGAACATCGGACCTGATATTGGAATATAATTCCGAACCTAGCTTATAGGCTTGTTTGCGAAATAGTTGGATATCAACCACAAAGTGCCATAATATGAGGTCTTCTGGCTGTTAAGATATTGATATTTAATATATTCCTAATTATTTTAAGTCAAAAACTGCATCTTCAAAAGTTAGGAATGCTTAACACCAGTCAAAACCCAGCTAACCTTTCGATTTACAACCAAATCTACCGAAATCCATGTGTTAACTAATTTAAGAGTTCGTATTTATCTCCTGTAACTCTATGCTCCTATATATACAATATTGCTAGTATCAAGCCGAAATAGCATCCTTAGATTACATACACATATTATATTGGGAGAATAGAAGTCAATACAGAAGGATGATGCGCAAATTTAGTGCAAAGTAGTAGAGATGGGTATTGAGAGTAAAGCACGACTAACAATAATCTAACTGGTAATCGAGGTCCAACAAAGTCTGTGTATGATATTCATGCAAGTAGTCGTCTCTAGGTGTTCACATAGACAAATCATAAGGAAAAGGGGGAAAATAGGAATTCAAGATAAAGTGCTGGCTCAAAAATCCCAATGGTATCTCTCAATAAGTGCCAATCAAAAGCCGTGGGAGTGGAAGGAAGCGATATCATAGCCATCTTCCAGTCTGTGGTGTGGTTCCTGTGCATTCGCTTCTATAGCATCTGCTCGTCCTCCAGCCAGTGGGCTCTCGAAATCCCACACCCAAAGTAGTATTTCTTCATCTGGAGTTCACCATATTGATTCTCCATAGCACGCTGTTGTTGCTCCTGTTGCCATTCACTTCCCTTATACACGGGGTCAGTGGCTTGGTTGTAGGTATGGGTTGATAGAGGAGATGTCGAGGCTGGTGCGCTCTGGCTCTCATATTCCTGCTGTGCGAGTTGTTCGTAGCCCGAGAGAACGTATGGTTCAGCATCAATCTTATCATCGTCCATCATCATGTCGTCACCATTGTATGGTTGAGACTTCCCATGTGTGTTGTTGAGGTTTGAAAGAGAGTTTGTTTGAACAATGTGGGCTCCTTGGCTTGGAAGGATGTTTGGCATAGCTGAACCTGGGGATATGCGCCATAGCTCAATGAGGCGGAATTTCTGCTCTGGAGCCGCTTGTCTGAACAAGTCAATTTGGGATGGGTATAGAGAGCTTGGGTCAATGTTGTAGCTTCTGAGTGTATCCTCAGTGGAGAATTCATGGGCAGAGACAGCAGGGTTAGGAGTGCTAGAGTGTTCCTGCTGCATGGCATCTATATCGATGTCGGTAGATGTGTGAGAGGGTACTTGAGGGGCTACATTGCCTAAAGATGGCTGTGCTGGTCCGTTACTCACGGCCATCTTGCTAGCAAAGAGAGCGGCAAGATCATTGTCCATCTTCATGTCACCTTCAGCTGCAGACAAACCACACTATTGAGGCTGTTAGAATGATATCCTAATAAACAATGTGCTTGTGCTGTAGGAACTCCTTACTCTCTGGCAGTGAGGGTTCTCTGTGAAGGCCGGAAGGGCGCCTGACAAATCAGTCTCGTACGAGCAGTACGGACATCGGTGAAGAGCAGAAACCATCTTGGATCAAGGTGTGAGTGAGGTAGATAGGTATATCCTGTCGTTCCTTGTCTTTTGCCTGGGTGTGTTTGATTTGTTGGTTGGTATGTTAGGATTTGAAGATAAGTCTTTTGGATTTGCTTTTCAGAGAGAACTTCGGGCAATAAACAACTCCTTTTCTTGTTCCTATATATGTTCTAGCTAGCTGAAGGAAGCACAACAAAATTTCGAAAGAAGGGGAAAGAAGTTGTCTATGTCGGGTTCTCCCAAAGATCTTGATCTTGAAGTACTGGAAAATGACGATTATGGCGGGGAGAGGGATGATTTGACACGGGTCCGGTGATGCCCAACGCCGGAGCAGGTGGGAATAGTGACGAACAGTCCGCCCTACGTGACCGAAGCAATCTGTTTCTCTGATCGATCAGCACTTCTAAAGGCAGAGAACGTGTGTTGTTTTGCTCTTTAGAGGGCAAAAGCAGTGGAAAACAAGATATAGCGACGGCGGGGCAGGGTTGTGGAGTATGGAGTAGCCCGGTAAAAAAGGGGGTAAGGTTAATAAGCGTTCAAGGAGATTAGGAAAGGCCGGGAAGTATCAGCTACGGAAGCTCAAGTATTTCACGATGTGTCTGGTAGAGAGGAAGAACGAGTCTTCGGGGTTGATTGAGGTCCTTTATTTCCTGTCTGCGAGTCAGCGACTTGATAGACGATCGATGCCCAACCGGCAGGTTAAGTGGCGGCTAAACTGGGCATGTCAGGCAGAAACGAGCGACGAAGAGCAACAAAAAAAAAGGCCCTGCAGGTCAGTCCATGTCATGTCCTAGTTATTACCGAGGCAGGGATTCCATAGGCTCAGCAGTCATCGCCGACTCTTCTCTTCCTTTCTTCCTTTCCGTCTCCTTCGTCTTGTCGACTTCTTGTTTGTTGTCTTCGTCGTCCTTCTTTTGTCAACAAAAAAACAAGAAGTTGATATTTTGATTAGTCAGCTATTAGTCATGAAGGCAGCAGTCCCGTGACGCAGCCAGCTCGAAGCTCCAAAAGGAACCAAAAACGCCAAACAAGACGCAGGCGGACGACGAAGATAACAGAGCAAAGACGAGGAGAAGAGAAGAGAACTGTCGGATGAGAAGGACGAGGAGTGCCGATTCATACTGCCAACAGCCTGATTTTACCGTTGACATACCCTGCCGCTCTCATTGACCGACGACTCCGACACACCAACATCAAGATGGTATGTTGATACAGCGATTGACGACTAGAGAGGTACACATACCAGGCATCCGGACTGCTGTGCTAACTACTACAGACCTCCATAGGAACAGGATACGATCTGTCGAACTCCGTTTTCTCTCCAGACGGACGTAACTTTCAAGTCCGCTGCTCTCGCCCTTCACCTCACTCTCCGCTTACCTGGAACATTTCCCCCCAGCTAACCCGTCACACAGGTAGAATACGCGGTAAAAGCAGTTGAGAATGGCGGCACGTCCATCGGCATACGGTGCAAGGATGGTGTCGTTCTGGCCGTAGAGAAGCTTATCAGCAGCAAACTACTGAAGGCCGGCGCCAACAAGAGAATAGCTACCGTCGACAGGAACATTGGAATAGTAAGTCTTTCGCCTACTCTGCTCCTAAGGGACCAGAAGATAAGAGAGCATGCTACTAATGTGTTCTAGGTCTCCTCTGGCCTGATCCCCGACGGACGACACTTTGTTTCCAGAGCTCGTGACGAAGCCTCTTCGTGGAGAAGTACATATAAGGGACCAATTCCCACGGACGTACTGGCCAGCCGGTTAGGAGGATACGTCCAGGCATATACCTTGTACTCTTCCGTTCGGCCATTTGGAATCTCCGCTATAGTTGGAGGATGGGACTCAGAGGCCGAGCTACCTGTAGACGGCCAGGTTGGGTCTGGCCCTGAGTGCGGTTCAGGCGGTAAGGTCAAGGGAGCCAAGGCCGGTGGTCCTGGCTTGTTCATGATCGAGCCAAGCGGTGCTTACTGGGTACGTCATCTCATCTTCCTATCTATCTATCAGCTTTGGAAGGCCTTGTGTATTAACCGGTGGGATGATAGGGCTACTATGGCGCTGCGACAGGCAAAGGACGACAAGCCGCGAAAGCCGAGCTGGAGAAACTAGATCTCCCCGCTGGCAAGCTGAGTCTGGTGGATGGAGTCAAAGAGGCGGCGAGAATCATCTATATCTCGCATGAGGATAGCAAGGATAAAGAATTCGAGCTGGAAATGACCTGGGTCAGCTCTCTTGATGGTCCTACCAAGGGCAGACACGAGCAGGTCCCCAAAGAGCTACTCGAGGAAGCGGAGCGGTTGGCTAAGAAAGCCATGACCGAAGAAGAGGATGATGAGGAAGAGGACGATGATGAGGACGACGACGATGAAGACGACGATAAGATGGAGGAATAAAGCGTCATCGCATATAGATAGATAACTAGGCAAGGCACCATCCGAATTCTTCTTAATCCGAATCGCAGCCCAAAAATATTCCAGCCTTCAAAAAACCTCTCTATCTCTAATCTACCGCACCAACTTTACCTACCTACAATATCTGACCATTCAACGCACCCTTCCTCTTGAATCCCATCTCAACCGCCGCACTACCCCAGTCCTCTCCATGATTATGTGACTTCCCACCTTCACACAGTCCCGCACGAGCCAAACCCTGCTCGTCGTTGAGAACAGTCAACACTCCAAAGATCACCGGCACACCCATATCAAGCTGCAAACGCATCAGTCCATGACTAACAGCGTCAGCAATGTACTCGAAATGCATTGTCTCGCCCTTGATCAGCGCGCCAATAGCAACAATGGCATCAAACGGTTTGGCGGCCCCCAGACATCCGGCTGCAGCAGTGTTTGAAGTAGATTGCGCCTGTGAGGCTTCGTAGACACTACAGAACAGAACCCGTCAGTCACGACATCCATTTCGCCCAGCCAAGCTGAGCTGCCGGATGATGCAGCGGGCTCACCTCTTGACGCCAAAGGGCAGCTCGTAGCTCCCCGGGACGCTCTGGACGACGATGTTTTCCTCTTTGACACCAGCTGCTAGAATGCTCTTTTTGGCGCCCGCAACCAAAGCCTCGATTATTTTCCAATTCCAGCGCGCGTGGACAATGGCTATGCGCAAATTCGAGCCTAGGATGTCGTTGTTAGCATGGTGTTGTGCGTGGTCTGGTGGGCGCCGGGCGCCGCACGCCGCGGGGGTAGGGTATGTATGGAGCTCAGCGTACCATCTACTGTCTGCGCTGCGCCTGGTCCTTTAACGGTAGACATTGTGAGTGGTGCAATCTAGCTTGGTGCTGAGTCTTGTGAGAGGTATATGGATGCTTAGGTACTTGTGAACTTATGTACTTGTGCCGGAGGAGCTCGCTCGATGCTTTATATGCAGACTCGCGGCCACCCAAGGTTGGTTTGCGGAAGTGAGGATGTTGATCCCGAGGCTTGGTCGAGAACGCACTTTTGGAGCTGCCTAGTTGGCCCACGTGATGCTTCTAGCGCATTTGGGGCCCAAGGCAGCGATTCAACTGATCAGTTCTACAGGACGGCTGAATGGAATATGTCGGGCTTGCGTATGCAGGCGTACGAGGCAGGACGTGCGGGATTCTTCGGAGACGGACAAATAGAGGGCGTATACACGGTGTCAAAATAGGGAATATAATGCAGAGACGGCGGTTTAGTGGGAGGAATAATCTGGATTTGTTTAGTGTTTTATATCTAGGCACGCTAGGGAGTATTAGTCAGGGTATATCAGCTTACTAAGGCCGTTATCTGAGATAAGCCCCGCATGGTCAAAGCTGATGGGTTTTGCTATAGAGAGAGGCCTATATAGAGTGGTTACTTGCATAAGGACGAATGGATGAAGGGACATGAGGATTTATTTATTTATATAGCTACGCAGGGGAAGTTATAGTCGAGGTCAGATAGACAGATAGCACGCAAGCATGCAGAGTCGCATTACAACATATAGAGTGGAAGCAGAAAGGACCGCAAAAAGGAGAAAAACGGCAAGGAAAAGCTGAACCTCGTAACAAATGAAAACGGAGTGAAAAAGGGAAACGCGGAAGGGAGGATAGGTTAAGGGAGGGGTAATCGGAGGGGGATAGGAATGGAGGGGCCGGGAAAAAGGGGGGGAGGGGGAAGGAATTGGGATTGATTTTTTGTTATTCTGATAGAGAGAGAGCCCTGCTTTAGAAATATTTTGGTTGTCCTTTTTTCTTGTTTTCTTTTTAATCCTCCATATTTAGAAAAAAACCCAGATGAATAGTCTCAGATCTATATCGAGCTGAAGTTGTTTTCTTTTTTCCTTTAATGGAAAAAGGGAAAAAAGGAAAAAACTTGATTTTGTGTTGGCTTGGTTCAAGACAGGCAGTGGCGTCTGTTTACTCGACGGTGACTGACTTGGCCAAGTTACGTGGGAAGTCAACGTTGAGACCCTCGCCGACAGCAAGCCAGTAGGCGATGAGCTGCAGAGGGATGACGTTGAGCAGACCCTGCAGACAGTCGACCGTGCGGGGGATCTCGATGCGTTCTGTCTCGGAGGCAGGGAACTCCTCGTCGTCAGGGTTGCAGATAACGATAGGACGACCGGCACGGGCAATGACCTGCTGGTAGGCGTTGAGAGACTTGGCGAAGAGGTTGTCTCTGGTCAAGATCATGATGATTGGCAGGTTCTCGTCGACGAGAGCGAGAACACCGTGCTTGAGCTCGCCGGACATGACGGCCTCGCAGTGCAGGTAGGAAATTTCCTTGATCTTGAGGGCACCCTCGAGAGCGGTGGCGTGCTGGCTTCCACGGCCAAGCAGGAGGAGGGACTTTTGGTTCTTGAAGAATTTGGCACACATCTCCTTGATTGGCTCGCTGAGCTTGAGGATCTCGCGGAACTGATCGGAGACCAGGCCAAGACCCTTGATGATTTCCTCACGGCGCTGTCTCTTGGAGGCACGGTCTTCGCTGAGGGAGAGGGCGAACATGACCATGGCGACGAATTGAGAGGTGTAGGCCTTGGTGGAGGCAACACCGATCTCGGGGCCGGCGTTGATGTGGACACCGCAGTGGGTGAGCAGGGAGATGGAAGAGCCGACGACGTTGACGAAGCCGACGGTGAGGGCACCGCGCTCGAGACAATAGCGGAGGGCATTGAGCGAGTCAGCGGTCTCGCCGGACTGGGAGACGAAGACGCAGGTGTCGTCACGGAAGACAGGAGCCTCGCGGTCGAGGAAGTCAGAGGCCAGCTCGACGGAGATGGGAATCTCGGTCAGCTCCTCGAAGACACCGCGGACGGCCATGCAGGAGTGGTAAGAAGTACCGCAGGCAATGAAGATGATACGACGGCAGCGGCGGATGGTGGAGATGTACTGACGCAGGCCACCGAGGGTGACTTTGCAGTTCTCAGCATCGAGACGTCCACGCATGGTGTTGACGACGGACTCGGGCTGCTCGAAGATCTCCTTTTGCATGAAGTGGTCGAACTTGCCCTTCATGATCTCCTGGAGCTCGAGCTCGATGGTCTGGATGGCACGGACGTTGGAGGTGCCATCGTTCTTGTTGAGACGGTGGATGTTGAGCTGACCCTCGTGGATGTGAGCAATGTCATCGTCCTCGAGGTAGAGGACCTTCTTGGTGTGCTCTACGATGGCCGAAGGGTCAGAGGAGAGGAAGAACTCTGCTGGCTGGGGCACACCGTCGTCTGACAGGAAGGCCCGGGACTGGGAGCGGTGAAGCAGGCTCTTGTCTGGCGGGGCAAGCAGGCTGGTGGCCGACTTCTTGAGGGCAGCATTTTGCGAGGCAGCCTCAGCAGGCAGAGCAGTACCCTCTTCGGAGTACTCGACATCGACAAAGTCGACCTTCATCTTCTTCTCGGTACGGACACCGATGACCAAGGGGGAACCCTTGCGGGCCGCAATGACCTCGTGGGGGTAGTGGACGGACTTCATGAGCAGGCCAAAGGCGCCCTCGAGCTCCTTGACGACAGCCTTGGCTAGGACGGTGAAGTCGATGTCTGGGTGCAGGTCGTAGAGGTATTTGGCGAGTTTGGCAATGCACTCGGTGTCGGTCTCGGTCTCGAAGCGGAAGCCCTTGGACTCGAGCAGGGCCTTGAGTTCCTTGTAGTTGGTGATAATTCCATTGTGCACGATGGAGAACTCCCAGTTAGGGTCAGATCTATTCTAGTCAGTTTCTCTTCTCTTCATCTTCGTCTATTCTTTGTATATATGGACCTACCTATGGGGGTGGCAGTTGAGCTTGGAAGGGGAGCCGTGGGTGGCCCATCTGGTGTGGGCGATTCCGACGTGAGACTCAAAGGTCTTGGACAGGTCAGGCTTGGAGGCGTCGATGAGGTCCTTGAGCTTGGCCACCTTGCCGACCTCCTTGAAGGCGAAGACCTCGTTCTTCTTGTCGCCGTCGACTGCTATGCCGGCAGAGTCGTAGCCGCGGTACTCTAGTCTAGAGAGGCCTGTTCCTGTTAGTAAGGCCCCAGAGCAGCATCCCGCCGTATCATATTAGGATCGAGACTCAAGACTCACCATTGATGATGGTCTGGATGATGTATCCACGGTCCTTCTCGACCAGATAGTTGATGTAGCCGAAGATTCCACTGTCGAGCGAGAGCGTTAGCTGGTGGTCCCAGAGTGGGAGAGGGAGAGAAGCTGTGGGAGCGGGACCCTACCACATGGTGATGAGCGAGCGACGTCAATTGCAGAGAAGTAGTAGAAGTAGAAGCTAAAGACAAGCAACAGACGGTCTCTCTTTGTCTCTATCGAAGCTGTAGCAGTTGGTGTCGATGTTGCTGTCGTTGCTGTCGTCGTCGTCGTCGTCGTCGTCGTCGATGTTGTTGTTGTGAAGTTGAAAGTCGAGAAAGTCGAAGTTGGCGAGGCGGGCGAGGGCGGTGACGGCGCTTGGAGGGGCAGAAAGTGAAGCAGCCAAAAAGAGAAGAAGAAGAAGATATAAAAGAGAAGAAGAAGATATAAATATAAGAAAACGATGGAGAAGACGAAGTGAAGACGAGAGACGACGAGAGACGACGAGATGAGCTCCTTTATCTACTTTCTACGTGCTACTTGCTTCTTCTCTTATCTGCATTCCACCTCCTCGAGCGCTGAGGAGGCTGTGCCGGATCCATCGAGCTAACTCACTAACTGCTTCTCCTGCTTCGGCTTCTAAGACATCCTTATCGACCGGGCCCAGGATGGGCGCCCCAGGGGGGGGGGATCCCGACATGGATGGCGATGGGGTCGATTGATAGACTTACATAGACACGCATGCAGACAGCCAGCTTGATAGACAGCTGATGGAGACGATTGACAGAGAATCAGCTCAGGAGTCCTGTCTGCGTCTTCCTTTACTATCCCCGTCCTGCTTCTGCTTCCGCTTCTCTTCCTCGTCCGTCTCGTCTTGTCTCGTCTCGTCTCTCCCGCGCCCGCTTGCTGTCCGTCTTCCTCCATGTCTCACCACAGTGGAGTGCCCGCCATCAGCCAAGGCGTCCGTCTAGCAGGAAAAAAGAGGCAAAGGGAAAGAGAGAAAGAGAGGGAGAGAGAGATCCATATTTAACGATCTCCAGGGACAGGCGCTTTTTGCTCTCTTTGCTTATTTCTGTGGTCGATGGTTGGCCTATTTTTATCTTCTTGGTCGATTAGTACGGCTAGACAGGAGCAACAAGCAACCAGTAGAAGAAGACTCAGGGAGAAGACTCAAGCAGAATAAGGAGGTTGTCCTCTCCTTTATTTTTGACCTGTAGGCCTTGTATACGTCGTGTCCACGGCCAATGGCTGTAGTCTATCAAGGTGTTATTATCATCTCCTGATGTGTATGTTGTTGCCTGAAGTCCCGTCTCTGGTTGTGCTGTTTGCTGCAGCAAAGCCGTAACCTGTCTTCATCTAGTATCCGTACAGTCCAACTGATAGATCTCGTGGATAGTAATTGATAGTAATTGTATGGGCGTCTTATAATCGCCTGCTGTCTGCATCCTGTCGCTGAGCCGGAGGATCCCCCTTGATGTCTTTATATCTGTCTCTCCTCTATCATGGCCGTCTCTGATGTACCAAGTATCTTCTTCATCTCTCATCTCTCGTCTTCCGTCTCTCTTCTGTCTTGTCTTTCGTCTCTCGTCGTCATCGTCGACTTACCTCTTGGTGGCCAGAGGCAGCGGACAGCCGTAGGAGGTCCAGCCATGTCTGTATCCCATAGCCCAAGTCTCTATCTCACTTCTTCACATCTTCCAGTCTCTCTTCTCTTCGTCTCGTCTCTGTAATATCTTCTTCTTCATCGCCGTCCTGGCCTGCGCGTGGCCATCTTCACTGCCTCGGCCGCCCACCACCCCCAGCCAGACCATGACAATCTCGCCTTTCCTGCATCTCCAGCTTCATCCTCTCTCTTTCTCTTTCTTCATCTCCATCTCCAACCTCGCCGTCTCTATCGTCGGGTCAAGATTTTCCCTTTTGGCGTCGCGAACGTCAAAAAGAAAAAAAAGACTCCAAACCTCCGCAAAAGAGAAGAAGAAGAAGAGGAAGAAAAAAAAAAGTCATCCACCAGCAACAAAAAAAAAAAAAAAAATCCCAACCTCCAAGACCGCCCACGACAGCAACGCCAGGACAGGCTCAATTCGCACCGTCGCAGGTCTCTCTCTCTCTCTCTCTCTCTTCGCTCGCCGCGTCCGCTGGCCTTTTTTCCTCCTCTTCTCGTCTCTGGCCCGGCCGGCGTGCTTCTCGGGACTCCCAAACCTGCGCCATCGCCACAGCCAGACCGACCACCGCGTCCAGGAGGAGAGCAGCAATCGAGAGATAACTAGCAGACGAGAAGACGGCGAGGAACCTGCATGGCTCTATGAGAAGGCTGCCGTGCTCAAGGATGGTGCTTGCTCGCCCTCGCCCGTCTCTCTCAGGCTCCTAGGCCAGCTTCTTCGTCTCTGCTCGATAATAACTTCTTCCTCCCATCATGTCACGCGCCTCCGCCGGCTTTGCAGACTTCTTCCCAACGGCGCCCTCGGTCCTGCAGAAGAAGCGCAGCAGCAGGGCCGCTGCCGGCCAGGACTCGGGCAGCAGGCTCAAGGGCAGGTCTGCAGCCGCCGACTTCTTCGCGGAGGAGCATCACGACGGCCATCTTTTTGACGACGAGGACCAGCAGGACCAGCATGCTGCGGGAGGGGCCTCTTCAGCAGCAGCATCTTCCACCGCAGACGCTACGCCGGCCGCAGACCAGACGGAGACAGCTACGCCCATCGATCCCGCGGCGGGGGACTACTCTGCTGCTGCTGGTGCTGCTGCTGGTGCTGCTGCTGCGAATGGCGTCGTTGCGAGAGTAGGCTCCTCCAGCTCGACGGCCACAGAGTCCTCCTCCTCGGCCGCGGCCACCACGCTCAACGGCATGTCCGCCTGCGCCCTCACGCCCCTGACAAACACCGACTCCTCGCCGCCGCGCAAGTCCGGCAGCCCCATGCTCTCTTCTTCGCGGCTGGCCGACTCTGAGCAGTCTTCCATCTCCTCTACCGTTGAATATGAGAAATACCACCATCACCACGATGGCCACGACCACGCCAAGGCCCTCCTCGCCAGTCGGCTGCCTCCTCCCAGGGGCTACAAGCTCGTCTACGACCCGGACCTGGACAAGAGGCCTCCTGTGTCCAAGGACAAGCGCCGGAAACCACAGTACGTCGCCTTCGGTGAAGGTGAGGCCGCCTCAGATGCTGCTGCCGTGGCCGCCGCCGCTGCTGAACCCGAGTTCGGCCAGAATCTTACCCCGGTATCATCAGTATCAGACCCCCGGAGAGCTATCCCAAACTACACCCGCGGCGCCGCCAGCAAGCAAAAGACAAAGTACAGACCGGCTCCCTACACCCTCAAGCCATGGGCCTACGATCCAGCTACCTCTATAGGGCCCGGACCGCCCACTCAGATCGTTGTCACCGGCTACGACCCCCTCACAACCGTGGCTCCCATCAGCGCCCTCTTCTCTAGCTTCGGTGAGATCGCGGGGATAGACAACAGGACAGATCCCACCACGGGCCGCTTTCTGGGTGTCTGCTCCATTACCTACAAGGACACCAGGTCTCTGCGTGGCGGCTCTCCTCTCACAGCTGCCCAGTCAGCCCGGAGAGCCTACCTCGAGTGCAAGAAGGAACAGCGCATTGGTACTCGGCGCATCAGAGTAGAGCTGGACCGGAACGCCGCTGCTTGCAACCGTATCGTCGCCAAACTCATTGCTCTGCAGAAGCAGGAACAGCTAGCTGTCTTTGAACAGCAGAATAGTGATGCCACTACTACGAAAAAATCCGACAAATCCTCCAGCATTCCCCCTCCTCCTCCACCTCTACCTACCGGGCCCAAAGCAGAAACCGAACCATCATCACAATCACAACCACCAAAGGATAATGTACCGCCCCCCTCAGCCCCCAAGGGACCATCTGGTAAATCCTCTCTACACCCGGCCTTGCAGCTCCAACCACCAGACGGCCCTCGCGCGGCACCAAAACCGCCCTCTCTCGTCGAAGAGACTCCCATCCTAGACCAGATCAAACGAGACCCTTACATCTTCATTGCACACTGCTACGTCCCCGTTCTCAGCACCACCGTGCCCCATCTAGAACGACGCCTCAAGCTATACGACTGGAAGTCCGTCCGATGCGACAACACAGGTTACTATGTCTTGTTCGAAAACTCCCGTCGAGGCGAGCTCGAGTGCGAACGCTGCTTTCGGGGCTGCCACATGACTGCTCTGTTCACCTATGTCATGAACATGGAGTGCCAGCAGTACGGCAACCCGTCCTACGAACGAAGTCCCAGCCCCGAACGAGTCAAGGCCGAACAGCGCGAGAAATCGGAAAAGGCACGGCTCAAGCGGGAGACCGAGCTGGACGTGGAAGAGGAGAAGCGTCTACGGGCTGAAAACGTCGATCCAACCACCGAAGTCGTTGCCATTGCCATCCGTGAGCTCAGAGATAAGCTTCTGGAAGATATCAAGACTCGCATTGCGGCTCCGGCACTCTACGACTTTCTGGATCCAGACCGGCACCGCGCAAAGAGACAAAAGCTAGGCATTGCTGACCCGCAGGGCATCAAGAAGCCGGCTTTCTACCTCGATACCGGGCTGGGCGAAAGCACCACGGACTCACGAAACAGTCCTGCACCGCCTGGTGCGCAGTCGAAGAACGTCCTCGCATTGCCGCGCATTAGAAAAGCACGAGACTTTGAACGCAACAACTCTGCTTTTGTCGACGAACGAAGACGCCGTCCCACTGTGCGCAGGAGGGAATTCAGACCACTCTACCACCGTCTTCAACAGCTTCATGACGAAGATGACTCCGACGACGAGCACCAGACTTCCTTCACCCGCGATACCGAAGACCAGGAGTCTCGGCCGCTCTCCCGCCTCTCCAGCGAGGCAGACAATGACGACGACGAGAATCTACGGGGCTCCTTTGTGCCCAGTGTTTCTGGCTTTGGAGACTCTGGCCTCGACTCAGCCGGTATTAAGGACGAGCTGGATGACCTCGACCGTGAATTGCTGGGAGAACCAGGTGACTATGAATGTGTCTCGAAGAAACGGAAACGACTCAGCCTGGAGCTGCTGGAGATGGAGAAGCGGCGGAAGACAGTGGACGAGCTATTCGGTGTCGATACGTCTCATCTTAGCCAGGAACCAGACGACGAGCTGTCTGCTCTAGTGGACTCGCAGGCCCAACGACTCGGTAAAGAAAAGGGCAAGAAACCGAAGAAGAAGACCAAGAAGCAGCTCCTCGAAGAGAAGAAGGCTCTTAAACTTTCTGAGCTCCAGGCTGCTGCGGACCAGGGCTTGATTCCTAAGGTTGACGATCTCGATCTTGCTGTCACGCCTATTGAAGGGGAGCTTGACATTGAGGCCAAGGAGGAAGAGTATGAGGAAGAAGAGGAGGAAGACGGATACGTCAAGCCAGAGGTAGAATGGGGATTGTCAACTACCGAACCCAAGCCCACAGTCGAAGACGACGAAGGCATCGTTCTCGATCTCGACGGATGGCAGAACATAGTCAAGGACACAGAAGACCTTCGATTCCTCCGCGAAGCTCTAGAATCCACATCGCTCCAATCCGAACCCGACACCCCCATCATCACCAACGTCACAGCCTGGGCCTGGAACCAGAAACAAATCAAGGCCATCAACAGCCACGGCGCCCGCGGTCCCGTCCACTCCGAAATAAAGATAGACGGCTACTACGTCCCCAACCCCACGGGCTCCGCCCGCACCGATGGCCGCAAACGTATCCTCGAGTCCGAAAAATCCAAATACCTCCCTCACCGCATCAAGGTCCAAAAGGCCCGCGAAGAACGCGAAGCCCTAGCCAAAAACGATCCTACCGCCGCCGCAGACGCAGCTCGAGTCATCGCCGCCAAAACCCTCTCCAAATCAACCCTTACCTCCTCCCGCTCCAACCGCGTCAACAACCGCCGTCTAATAGCCGATATCAATGCACAGAAACAAGCTCTGCCCACCCAAAGCGGCGAAGGAGACGTGCTGCGCTTCAACCAGCTTAAGAAACGCAAGAAGCCCGTCCGTTTCGCCCGCTCGGCCATCCACAATTGGGGTCTGTATGCTGAGGAAAACATCACTGCCAACGACATGATTATCGAATATGTTGGCGAGAAGGTTCGGCAGCAGGTGGCTGATATGCGTGAACGACGGTATCTCAAGTCCGGCATTGGAAGCAGTTACTTGTTTCGCATTGATGAGAATACCGTCATCGACGCTACGAAGCATGGTGGTATTGCGCGCTTCATCAATCATAGCTGCACACCCAACTGCACGGCGAAAATCATCAAGGTCGACGGAAGTAAGCGTATCGTCATTTATGCCCTTAGGGACATTGAGAGAGGTGAGCTGTTCTATGCGAAGTCGTTTTTTTTCTCTGTTTATTATAGGTTGCTGACGTGCTGTGTAGATGAGGAGTTGACGTACGACTACAAGTTCGAGCGAGAATGGGATAGCGATGACCGTATCCCGTGTCTCTGCGGCTCGACGGGCTGCAAGGGATTCCTCAATTAAGCCATTAATATTGGTTGTGATACTGAGCACCAACGTTGTTACCGACGTTGTTACCAGCGTTGATACCCCTGACTCTTCTCTCCGCAACAAACGCATGCTCTGTGCGCCGCCGCCTTCAACAAAAGCATTCAATCACACTACGGGCATCCCATCCCTATAAAGCTATAGATATACAGTCTATGGCCATGGGATTAATTCCACCACTTTAAAACAGGGAAGGGCATTTGATTACACTGACTTCTCCCTTTTACTCTTAACGATTGGCGTTCCTTGATTTTTCTCATCACTATATTTCTTCCTACACTGCATTTCCTTCCATATCCCCCCCCTTTACTTGCTGCAATTAATGCTTAAAAAAACCCCCCATCCTTTGTTCGCCCTGTAATAATTCCCATCTTTCTCTTTCTCTGCCTCCTATTATCTGTCTGTCTGCTTCTATCACGTGTATATTAGCTGGATGGTTTGCTTGCTTGCTTGCCTGGTTGGATGGGATAGATATGGGTCTGTTTGCTCTTCCATGTTATCTTTTATGCCGAGCTGTGGTTTTCTTTTTTCCTTTCATGCCGGGAGCAAATATATCATGGCGCTGACCAAGTGTTTGTTAGTTGGTCGGGGAGGGAAAAGGTTGATAAATAGTTTAAAGAAATAAATCAATATATGATGAGAAGCTTTATCTTTATTCAGTTTGGCCGCTGGTGGGCGTGTTTGTACCTTTCCGGTATGAGCCCTCCGTTAAATCAAGGGGGCTATAAGTTTGAAAGCGTAGGGTTGTTATATTGCTACAACACCCCTACTGCCTGGTCAGAACCATGTGCTGGTATCCCGGGTATATCCATCTATCTCCATCCACCTATCAAGTCTCAACTCTCACATCATACTGCAAATCATCCCGTTAGCAGATATTCAAGCGTGTCCTTAAAAAACGCAACATACCAAGATGACTCGGGAGCAAAAAATTCGCAATCCCCTCTTTTATCTTATACTCATGCCCGCAGTTTCCGCACACCAGCTCCCCTTCCACCACATGCGTTTCAAGTAGCAACTTATGCAAATCCCGCAACAATTGCTCATTATTCAACTCTTCGCCTTCGGGCTTCGACTCGCTTATCGATGGGAACCCAAGCTATTAACGTCGCAAAGGCTCAATAAGCGTCTGCGCATACTAAACGGTACGGAGATGGCCTAACTCACTTCACTAGCACTTATTTTGAGAGCAGCCCAATCTATCCGGGGTAAGATATTTCGGATAAAGTCAGGCTGGAAGTCGAGTTCTTCTTCTTCGAGCTCTGCGTTGCGGAAGTGTAGTGGGTATGATGCGGAGGAGGATTTGCATGCCTTGACGGCGCAGGTGACAAAGTTTGAGGTAAGAATTTTCATCTCGGGGAGTGGATGTATCCTTTATAGCTTTAATGGGTCGTAGATGTGGTTGTATTCGTTGTAAGCTTGTTAATGGTATGTCAAGTTGATTGGTTTGCGGTCGTGGAATGATTTTTAGCTTCAGTAAAAAAATTGCTTATCGCGGGGAGGAAGAAGCTTATCGATAAGAGATCGACCCCCTCTATAGTAGACGTATTATAAGGAGCTAAACTACGCAGTATAAGAGACCAGGATGGGAGACAGAGAGTCTTATGAGGTAGTTCTATCTGAGTGTCTACTCCTGACAAAAAGTACCAAGTATTAGGGTTACTGTGTAAAAGCCTGCCGCTGCCAATAGCTAGCTATTTCATGATAACATCAAGGCAATCCATGTCGTCAATATCATTATCCTCAATCAAAGTGCCTGGATCCAACATATCTCCATCAAAATAGAGCAAAACAGACATGTGCTCTGGTATTTCCTTCACCTGCCGGAACTTCTTCAAGATATTGCCAATCTGCGTTGACGGTCGTACTTTGATCCTAAAGTCATCTAGATCCGGGTTCTTGAGGGTAATCCGAATCAGATCCGTGTCAGCTGGCTCTTGAGCCTTTGGCTGCTCGTCCTCACTGTTCTCTTCACTGTTATCCTGCTGGACGGTGGTTGCTGCTCGGCGTCTTTCTTCCAACATCTCCTCTGTCATGGCTTCCATGTGGACGCCGGCATTGCCTTCTTCCATGTCAAAGGGGGAAGAGTCAAATATCGAGTTGTCGTTGGTGTCAGTATCATTGATACCCAGACTCTTGCATGTGGTTACATCAAATAGCCGTCTTCCTTTCCAGGTCAAGATGATAGTGTCTGAGGTCTCTTCGTCGTATTTCTGGTGACTGCACCAGGCCTTTCGTACCTCTCCTAGGTTCTGAGACAGCAACCGACGCACCAGGAGCGACTTGGTGTTTGGAATATTAGATGTAATAAGGATATTCACAACGGTGTCCTTTTTCTTTGGTGATGAATTGGAAGCAGCCTTGGGAGATTTCGATGGGGTTCCAGCCGTCTTCCCGATGGTATTATCCTTGCCATTGGGAGATGCCGGCTTATTATCCTCCCGCATCGAGTTATTACGAGCCCTTTCTCGAGCTCGTCTGATCAGTGCTGCGCAGTCCTCATCAGACTCTTCATCGTTATCTCCATCATTGTCCAAGTCGGAGTCAATCTGTATTACCGACTTTGGAGGAACTCGGGAGGCCAAAGGAGGAGGAGATTCCGAGTTAAGACGAATGACAGTGCCTGGTGGTGAGGCTCCTATCAGTTGTGATTTCCTTGGACTGTTCCGTTGTGAGCTGGTCTTCCTGGGACTTGATCGAGTAGAGCGTGGAGTTCTTGGAGACGTCTTGCTGGTCCCGTCTTCTTCCAGCTTGGGAGGGGTATCCCTTTTAACAGTATCACTTCCACTTGCAGCCTCCTGGGGCGGTGATTTGGTTCTGGGCTGAAGCGCTGAAGTGGCCTCGTCCTCGTCTTCGTTGGATATGCGGCGTCTCTTAGGCTCCTTAGGCGCACAGGGAGTCTCTTTAGCTGTATCAGTCTCATCATCACTTTCATCTTCTTCTTGAGTCGTGGCCACAAAGTCCGAATACACCTGGTTGGAGCGCCGGAAGAAGTCCTGCGGCTTTGCGGGAGTGGATGCCTGCGCCCAAGTTGGTTTCTTGAAGAACGATGCCATGGCGCTCTGGTATCCAGTTATTTAGGGAGCGTATATCTCATTTGCTGGTCGGTTAGTTGTGTATTATGTTTGTGTGAAAGTGGGATGAATCTGCGAGGAATTGCCCTCGAGGCTGGCGCTTCTTTTAGTTATAGCTGGCAAGCTCGGTTGCTGTGTTGCTGGATGAATGACGCAGTTGATTAGTTACCTAGTTGAACAGATGCAAACTTCCACGAGCCATTGACGCCAGCAGCCAAAACGGCTATTCAGACTTTCTCTGTCACTGCTGCAGGCTCTCCTGGTATCCAATCCTGCTCCCTCAACCGTCTTTCTCTTCTTTCTCGTCTTTCTCTTCGTCCTTTTCGCTGCTTGAAACTTGCCCGCGTCGCGTTTTCAATTTAACCAACTCGGTCAGTCACGTGAGCGGTTCCTGTGTTGTTGAAGTCGAAGAATCGAAGAGTCGAAGACGAAGACGAAGACGAAGAAGAAGACAAAAGAGATCAAGACGGTTTGATGAAGCTGATCTTCGCTGGTTTACAGAGATAGAACTGCTTGTTGGCCTGACTCGAGGAGGCTCTAGGTTTCCTGCTTGCACTATCTGACTTACAGTTAGAATCAATGGAGGCCACTTCTGCTTCTGAGGGCAAAGATCCCTCTGCTTTCCTGGGAGAGATCACCGGTGCTCCAGTCACCGTCAAGCTGAACTCCGGTGTCGTCTACAAGGGTGCGTTCTCTTCACCTGTTGCTATAGACCGCACGTTATGGTGGTGGTTGTCAGGAAAATAAGGTCTAATTCTTCGGTATAGGCGAGCTACAGTCCGTTGATGGCTACATGAACATTGCGCTGGAGAAGACCGAGGAATACGTCAACGGCAAAATGAGACGGAGCTATGGCGATGCATTCGTACGAGGGAACAATGGTATGCCCGGGCCATGCCTTGCTGAGAGGATCCAGACTGATTCGATTGATAGTGCTCTACATATCAGCGGACTAGAAGCTCCCTTGCACATTTGAATACGCTTGCGACGCTATAACTATCCTACTCCGGACGTCTTTTTAGCTTTTCGCTGTTCGATACTCTCTGCAGGCGACATCTGAATGAATTATGGTATAGAATATGGGCGTTTAGGGAGTCAGCTTGGATGAAGATTGAACTACACCTGCTGTGCCAGGGGCAGTAAGCAGCATGGCTTTGCATCCAGGGACTTGAGATGAAGCAGTCGATGTCACTAGGGAGCTTTTCCCTGTGCATTCCTTCGCTGTTATAGCTTAAGCTGCTATGGTCCTCCTGTAGATCTACGAGCATCTGTACTTCCGCCTTTTCGCCGATGAAATCGGTCTTGAAGTAGAAAAACGTCATCTTGCCAGATAGAGCTCCGCAAATGATTTCTTGTTTAACTGCTTCACCGACTTTAGGCCGTGGTGATGGCCCTATAACTGTACTGGCTGTATACATGCCGATTAAAATTTTATATCCAGCGTTTTGCCCCTCCCCCACCAGTTACCAGCTTACGAACCTCTCCCACAGCCAGCTACAGCTGAAGAATAACCACCTTCGCGCCTATCTACTCACGATAAGGAGATACAGATCAGCCTGCGAAGGGGTCGTCGTCAGGATAGCCCGCCATGTCTCTCCAATCTATCCGGTACAAGCGCGGGATGCTGCAGGTCCTGGACCAGCTCCAGGTTCCTCACGTCGAGCGATACATCCCCGTTTCAACAGCAAAGGAAGGATGGCATGTTATAAAGGAGATGCATGTCCGAGGCGCACCAGCTATCGCTATAGTCGCCGTCCTCTCCCTCTCGATCGAGCTGACGGAGCTGATGGACCATGAGAAGCTGTCCGCCGAAGCAAACGAGGTCGAAGCATTCATACTAGAGAAGCTAGACTACTTGGTTACCAGTCGGCCTACGGCGGTGAACCTGAGCGATGCGGCTATCAAGCTGAAGGCGCTGGTGCAGAAGAGGAAGCAGATCGGGGATCCCAAGGGGAAAGACCTGGCAGAGGCGTATGTCGAGGCTGCGGAGAAGATGCTGATTGACGATGCCATGGATAACCACCGACTGGGAGATTTTGGCGCTGCATGGATCATGAATAACACACCTGTTGGCAAGGACGGCAAGAAAGTCGGTGTCTTGACGCACTGCAACACAGGGTACGTTGGCCAATATCAAACCAGAGAGAATAAAAATATTGTAATGCATGGCAAGGCAGGCTAATTGGTTTATTATCTAGTTCTCTTGCAACAGCCGGGTATGGAACAGCACTGGGAGTCATCCGCTCCCTCCATGCTTCAGACAAGCTCGAGCATGCCTACTGTACCGAAACACGGCCGTACAACCAAGGCGCCAGACTCACAGCCTTTGAGCTGGTCCACGACAAGATCCCCGCCACCCTGATCACAGATTCCATGGCCGCCTCGCTACTCGCTCAGAAGGGAACAGGTCTCGCTGCCATCGTGGTAGGAGCAGACCGAGTCGTCGCAAATGGAGACACCGCCAACAAGATCGGAACCTACCAATTGGCCGTGCTCGCCAAATATCATGGCGTAAAGTTCATTGTCGCTGCGCCCCGAACGACCATCGACCTGCGTACCAAGGAAGGAGAGGATATCATAATCGAGGAACGAGCAAAGTCCGAAGTCACCAGAATCACAGGGCCACGTATCAGTGATCTCGGCAGGAATGAGGAGAACATCACCCTCGAGACCGTCAACATTGCTGCTCCCGGGATCGACGTCTGGAATCCCGCCTTCGACGTCACACCCTATGACCTGATCGATGCCATTGTAACGGAAGTCGGAGTCGCAGAGAAGAACGCAGACGGGCTCTTCGAGCTGGAGAAACTGTTTGGTTTCCAATAGTTCATCTTTCATTGTTTATCCCCCTTCTGTTGCTCGTCAGACCCATTCTCTTCTTGCTTCTTCTCATGCTTCTCCTTGTCGTCATCTTTGGCTAGTTCGTCTCCGTCTTCCTTTTCCGTTTCAACAGATCCAAGGAGACGATCTATCTCCTGCTCTATGCGCGTAAGATGGTTCTCAATAGCTTGCGCTGTCTGCTCGCCTCTATATAGACACAAGATGTTAGATATGGATTCTCGCGCTTATAGATATATATAACGGTCCAGCAATGCGGCCTGGTGCCACTTACTTAGCTATGTCTTGAAATGCCTGTGATAATACTAGAAGTTAGCAATGCTGTCACTGTTAACGGTGCGGGGTCTGGGTCAGGAATCGTGAAAGCCATACCTGTGCCAGATGCGACTCGGCGCTCTCATTCTCATGGAATCCGCCCATCTTATTTATACCTTTCTCTTTTTGACCAGAATGTCTCCTTGAAGTCTCACGGTTGGTTGTTTTACTTCGCTGCCGGCTCTTTTTAGCCAGAAACAAGCTTGGAGGACCAAAGAAGTGGATCAGCCACGTGACTGAATCTTGACCCCCGGCCATGACTTTGAACGAGAAATGCATTTCGCTTCCATTCAGAGCTGTGGTGAAAAGGCTCTTGGTCGGATGAAATTGACAGTTAATGGTCGGCATTTTTGGCTATTATTATGATATATTGCAAGGTGGTAGGTTTTTTCTTATATCTGATTATATATTCTATGTTGTAGAGACTACTAGAAAAGTCTAGATCAGGATAAGATTTCCTGGAGATGCTGCATAAAATATAACATCCCAAAACAAAGTCAAAGTGTATTGATGCTCTCTATAACAATATCTCCAAGTAGGGTTTCGGTATCTTGATGTGGTGTTGGTTTCCGTGATGCTTTCTCTCAAACATATGAATCCGACGCTCTATGACAAGGTGGCCAGTAGGAATTCCATATCCATCAACCAATTGTCCAATTCTAGGGTAGTTAAATATCAAGTCAAATCGTCAGAGCGAAACAGAGGATCACATGGTCTAGAAACCTGAATGGGGTTGTATCACAAGGTGATTCGGGGTTAGTTTCCGGGTCCCATTGACTCCATGCCCGTCCTCCAAGAGTTTAAACCACGCGACCAACGAAGAAAGGGAAAAAAATCCTGTCGTATATATACTATTGCATATCATATAGCTGATAGCACGGATATCCTGTTCCAGTGGGGTTTACCTGTCCAGACTGATGTACGCTTGTATTTAATACAAGAATACGTAGCGTAGCCGGTGCAAATTTATGCGACTTGAGGATGCATGCATTGCTTTGCTACAAGTGCAGCCGAAACAAGAAAGATAAATGTAGATAACCCAGAGATGAAGCTAGAAAATATGGGTTAGCTAAGTGCAGAGCAGTTAGCCACAGCAATACGTACGTATGATTCCCGGGATATTTGGAGCCCTGCACTTCGGTTCCGTCACTGAGCCCAGGCTCAATTTGTAGAAGATCTTCGATGACTTCCTTGGTATCATGATACTTGTCGGTCCAGCATTTCTGTATAATGTTGCCAAGGAGCATGCCGGTAGTATCTGGAAATAAACCCTTCAGGTAGAGTTTCTCTACCTCACTATCTCCTTTGTCCTGATATGGCTTGTAGATCGTTGACATTTCATATAGCACAGTGCCTACGGCGAAGAGCTCCATCTTCACAGTGGGTTTAAGGGACATGTGCCAATGGTTTATTAGGCACGGATGAGTAGAGCGCGTTTCTGGAGCAACCTCGACTTTACCGTCGTCAATCAGCGAGCCTGAAAAGTCAGACAGCTTTACATTGTTGTTGAAGTCAAGCAGAATATTATGGCAGCCAATGTCAAACTGATATACCGAATGCGAATGAAGATGCTGCAAACCACGCAGAATTTGCATTGCCCATTTCAGTATTTCGTCTCTGTGAGGGGGCGGACCTCCATCTTCTTGGAGATTTAGCAGGTGTTTACGAAGCGGATATCGTAACCTTTCGAGGACGAGGCCATTTCCTTGTGGGCGTATGTACTTGACAATGCAGTCGTGGTCTCCGAGCCGTTCAAAAATCCTCTTCTCAGTAACGACGGCATTGAAATATTCTTCACACAAGGGATGTTTAAGTGCGGTGTGGTTGTCAAGTGCGACGACAGCACTCATAATCCCCATGCCTAGGAGTTTATCCGAGAATTCGGCGGGTTTTGCCATCTTTTGCTTGATGACGATGGAGGGCTGAATTCAAATTGCTTAAGGAGGCTTCATATATAGTTTAGTTAAGGTACGGAGGTAGGTTTAACTAAGAACAACGACTTTCCCCGGCATCCACTCGCTCTCCCAGGCCCGCAACCTTAGATCACCTGGCTCTCGGAGTTAACTAGTAGCATTGGCTGGACTCCTGATTAGTTATTAGATGGCCTAGTTAATCGCTCGGATGCAGCGTTTGAAGACTGAGTTGCTGAAATAACACTGTAACCACCTAACATTCTTCGTAGGATAGAAGTCTCCTGTTTTATCTATATATCTTAAGCCATACTTACTTTCTTCTGCAACTCATTTACAACCTAGTGACACTTAAGCAGGGCATGGTTTAGGCCTTGTGGCGGTTAAGGGGTTAGAGGAGTAAGTATTCTATATAAGAAAGAGTACAAAGGAGAAGCAAAAAGAGATAGATCTCTCCGTAATATTAATAGGATAGAGTAAGATATAGTTTGAGATACACAATGGTAAAGAGGAATGCTTGACTCCATGTGGTTATGTAGGCGGATGTAATTGGAATTTCAGCCGTTCGTATATCGAAGAGTCACATCTGAGAGATTATTAAACAGTTTGGTCTTGATTACGGACCTCGCGCTCTTGTAACCCGCGGCGCTAATCATATGGATGATCACAAAGTATCCAATCGCAGGTTTGACCGTGAAGGGCCGCTGTGGGGAGACGGCTGGCTGGGCGTTGCGGGAATGGAGGGGCTGCGAGCTTCTGCGGCATGTACTGTATAAATAAGACGGCATGCTGGACTCTGGCATCAAGTTCCAATCCATTCAATCCATTTTCTTTCCAAGTAACAATCGATAGACAGTGTACCTCTATACATCTACGCTGACAATGGCTGCCCGAGACATCAAGCCGTTGGTTCTCTACGGCATCTACCCCACAGCCAACCCTGTCAAGGTGGCCATCATCCTCGAGATCCTGAACATCCCCTACGAGCTCAAGTCTACCGACTTCAGACAGTGCAAGGAGCCCGAGTACCTTGCCATAAACCCCAATGGCCGCTGTCCTGCTATCCACGACCCTAACACCGGCCTCTACCTCTGGGAATCTGGTGCCATTGTAGAGTACCTTGTTGACGAATACGACAAGGAGAACACCATCTCTTTCTCTTCGCTGCACGAGAAATACCACTTGAGACAGTGGCTGCATTTCCAAGTCAGTGGACAAGGCCCATATATCGGCCAATTCTCATGTACGTCTACGACATCACGATCCTCGTTTCGTCTTCAGGCAAAGTGGTACGCTAGCTAACCAGGTCACTTATATCACCAGGGTTCAAATGGTATCACGTCGAGAAGTTCCCATCGGCCGTTGACAGATATGCTAAGGAGACCCGTCGTGTTATGGGTGTCGTCGACCTGGGATTGAAAGACAAGGAGTGGCTTGTTGGTGGTAAGATGACCTACGCCGACATTTGCTTGGTTCCATGGTTCTTCTGGGCAAAGAGAATCGGCGGAGACGAGTGGTATGCCGAACAAGTTTCCGAGCTTCCCAACTTCCAGAAGTGGTGGAACAAGATTATCGAGGTTCCAAAGATCAAGGAGTTCTGCGCTGGCATTGCACAGTTCGACCCATCATATGTCCCGAAGGATGTTCTGGACAGACTGAACAACAAGACTGCGTAATTCGGGTTTCTGGTGGTGAGATATGTTGATTAAAGAGATGCTCTCCTATGGCTTCGCTTGTAACTAGGCAGAATCATAATGGTATGCTTGTCATCTAGAAGCTAGTTGTAAATAGCAGTTTGATATAAAGGCAATTCCAAGGTCGCCCGCAATCAGTCGAGGCTAGTTGATGGGCCAGTAGTAAATACATGCGTGGTAGTAGAAAACATCCATAGCTTAATGGCTGCTGCCTGGATACTGCCCATTCTGAATGAGTACCGTCATTGACTAGGTATGTATGAGCTATAGCCGAGCAGGTAATGGATATCATCTGGTTTGACCTGGAGAGGACCAAGATAATATTGTGAAAATGGCGCGCCGCTCTTAATTAGTTCAAGCAGAAGGCTTATAAAGGCTGCTCTTCTGTTTGACCTCTTCGATCGTAGAAGTCCTCAAAAAACCGTATACTCGAATTTGTAACTCCGATACTCCGGTTGGAAGTCGGACTTTTCATCGATCTAATATGCCCATAAAGTTCGTTTGATATGGATTGACTCGGCCCCAAAGGCCATCAGTTGCACGGTAAATATAGAAATGATCTCATTCCCCCAGAATAATCAATTGTTTGGTGGTTGCGCAGGCTTGCCTAGTAAACTCGGAAATAAGCATCTAAGCGCGAGAGGCGTATAAATTGGAGAAGATAGAGAGATTCCATACGGTTTCCACTGCCGCTGCGGTGGATTATATCTTCCCGCTCTAGTTTGTTCCACGCCCAATAAGCAGCTTGATAGCAGACCAAGGAGCCTATAAATAACTTTATAAAGGGGCGACCGAAGTTCTTGTATACCATGACCTAAATGTACAGATTAGTGAGCTTGTTCCTGGAGGTCAGGATTCATCTGGTGTACCTACATGAGGCGAGGGTGGCTTGGAGTTGCTGCTATAGCTCCGTCGGCAAATGTAGGTCATCTTGTGAGAAGTATCAAACGGTACCAGGTCAGTACCGTGCGTAAAGGGGTTCGATATCAAGCTGTCAAGCTGAAGCTGATGGAGGTTGGAATGTTTGCATCCTCTCATCTCCTCGTCATCTTTAACTTTCATCACAGAAAAAGCAAAAGTCTTAGCAACATGACATAATCATGCAGATGACATAAGCAACTGACATCATGAAAGATGCTCTCGTGTTCACTTTCGATACTCGAACGCACATCAATGATCAACGACGAGATAAACGGCCAGCAGCACTCTTAATGACTCAATTCGCTCAAAGAGTTCTCAGATACGCCCGATCTGTGTTTTAAAGCCTTTTATTCCATTTATTTTATCCACACTCCCCCTAGGATTGGTGCCTCAGATTAGAGGACAGTTGGCCAGTTGACCACCCTCGTCCAACACTGTGATATATATACACATCCAGTTAGGAACTGGGCGATACCCTTCGATATACACTCTTTCACATCCCACGAAGTCTCTCCTTGAGCGATTCTTGAAACCTCCTGCGCCAATACGCAACAGCCGTTGAGCCCCTTGATTCTATTATCTATATTAACCTCCCAGGTCTATAGCAAAAATGGTATGCCAGCTATGAAGTTCCCTTATAATTAGCTGCTTGTTAAATCAACACTCTAACTTGTTGGATTACGACCATTAGGCTCCACAAACTCCCCAGCAGCGAAGGGCCAACGAGAGATTTGCCAAAAAGGAGGCCTCCAAGCGCGGAAAGCCAGAAGCGGCGGTTAAGACGAAACCAAAGGCCAAATCTCCTATATCTATGGGCTGGGTTGGTATGTGATATTTGTCATATTATATAGTGGCTACCATATACTGCCATTTTTATATCTCCATATTCTCAGATACCGAATACAGCTGCTAACCTGTCTCTCATCACCAGTTCTACTACTTTTTGTCCTATGCGGCGGTCTCGTTTTCGAACTACTTAGAGTTGTCCCTGCCATATGGGGATATTTCTCTAGTTTCATCACCAGATGGACCAGCTAAGAGATACACCTTTACAATCCTTTCATCATCCACCTTATACCTCCAACCTAGCATTGCCTCGTTCTATTGCCGATATTCTTCTAGTTTCATTCTTTCAAAGCGCCATTACTTGTGGCGTATTCTCTAGCTTTGTATTTTAAGAATTTAACATCTATTATTGTCCCTTCGGTAAAAAAAGGGGGCTCGGTTCTGACGGAATCAATACCTTTCTGATAGACTTAAAGTAACAATATTAATGCTCCTTTAGTTATGTAACTATGCAATACTTTTTCAGCTCTAAGAATATGTCATATCTATCATGCATATCCACAAAGTTAGCCATCACTTCGTTGAGATAGGTGCATATTACCCGCTTATGCAAATAAAAATCCAAAAACTTCCTGGGTCGAATGGGCCGAACTCCCCCCCTAATTGTATAGTATGGACAAATTACTCCTGACCTTCCGTTTGCACGGGCGCCTCCTGAGGTGCAACTACTCTCTTCTTCTTCTTTTTCTTTACCACAGGCGCTCCAGCTTCATCATCTGCAGCCTTCTCCTGAGGCTGAGAGGGTTCCCCCTCTGCTTCCTGGGAGGTAGACTTGGTTTTCTTAGATGATACAACTTTCTTCTTCTTTTTCCTCTTGATCATCTTGCCTTCAGCAGGAACCTCCTTGCTGCCACGAATTGCTTCTGCTTCCCGTTGCATTTCTAGACGTAACCTTTGAATTTCTGCCATTGCCTTCATCATTTCTGCATCCTCTGCTTCTTTTCTTGCTATATCACCAACACCAGGGGTTAGGCCGCTATCTTCCTCAAGAGACAGCTGCCCTAGCCCGCTCGAGTCAACCTCCAGCAACGACTTCTTGGGTCTGGTTACTCCGGGCCCTGTTGGTGCAGAAGCGGGTCTAACAGTGGGCGAGGATGGGTTTTCGAATTCAAGAGTTTCATCCCCTATGATTTCAACTTTCTTGGGTTTCGCTTTGCGTTTTGGTTTGCGCGGTTTTTGGCTATCTAATTTCTCCGGGTTCTGTTGACCAATTGCCAGATCAATGATGGGAATCGAGTCAAGATCTAGGTCTTCTTCGTTGGCACCACGTAACGCCTGGTTAAACGGTGTAGCTGGATCCGATGATTCCCCTTCACCTTGTCCGAGGCTTATATAGAAGGGATCATCCTTATTACGCTCTCTCCTTGCTATACGCCTCTTGGCGACGACATCTGCAGGTTCAGATAGTATCCCTTCGGAAAGATTCTGATAGGAAGTTGGCTGGATAGGAGTGGGGGAGAGGATTTCCTTTTGTGGCTTAGTGACAAAAGATGTTGAGTCCGGTATGTGGTAGAATTGATAGCATTCATCGTGGGTAGAGGAATTAAGCCAACCAATACTCGATTCACGTTGGATGTGGATGTACCGAGGATTTATCGGTTGATCTAAGTCAAGATCACTCGGAATCGGAACCTTCTTCTGCGCGCCGGCTGCTACTGGATTAAGGTCTAGGCCGGTAAATAAGCTTGGTATGGCTGAGGAAACAAGGAGCGGTACACTCCCTGATTCAACATCGGATGTCGATACCGCCTCCTTTGTCAAGCGTAATAGTTCTAGGAACTCGATGGCCCGTTCCTGCACGTCCAACTCCGGGTGGGAGGAAAGGTTTTCCAAGAAATCTGTTATCCGTGCAAGCAAGAGCGATACCTCGCCCTGTCTGTCTATGTTCCAATCATAGAACTGAGAGGTAAGATGGACAAAGACTTTGGGAATTGCTTGAATATATCCCGAGAGAACCTTAGGAGAAAGACTCAGGTTGGATGAGTGTATAAGGGACGAAAGTGATTGGTCTGGAAAGCTAAGGTACTCAGCATATTCACCCACTATCCAGGCAATGGGCTCTAGCAGGTTTGTGCTTGAAGTACCAGATGAGGGAAACAGGGCGGCTCGATTATCTATAAGCACCAGGGTTTCGGCTGCGCGAGTTGCTTCGGGGCGAACACTCCTGACTCTCACAGCCACATTACGAAGCTCAGAGCCAATTCGATTGGATATATCTGCTCTCTGGTCATGGGCGTCCCTGGAAGAGTGCTCATCGTTTGTTTTGGAAGCACTGGCCGGTGGAATTAGCCGGACCAATTGCACTAGGACATCGACATACCACTCGAAGTCGGTGAGGTTAGAATATGTATCCCGCGAGCAGATGTCTAAGATTCGGTGGAGGACTTCTAGACGATATTCGTTCGGAAGTGGGGGTGGAGCCATCCTATCCTGTCTCGCGAGTTCCAGGTGAGATTCCGGGTCTTCATCGTCCTGGTCTGCAGCTGGGGTAATATGTGCAAGTAGAGAAGTAGTGGCAGTAGGACCATCTGAAACGGTAGAGGACGTCTGCAGCTGGGTAATTAGATGATTGACTACAGACTGCAGTGAGTCGCTAGCGACCATCCCTGAAACTAGTTCAAGGGCCTGCAGTCTGATAGAAATATCGTTGTCGTCGAGACATCCCATTATTACATCCTGGTGCGCTGAGACTAGCATAGGATGAGTCGTCACGATCCTGTTAAATGCGAGGAGCGCAACATATTTCACTATATATATGTTAGTGCTAATTCATCGTACTGCCAACGAGGGTGTGAGCTTACAGTTGGGATCCTCTTCCAACACAAGCATGCCTCGGAGCTTGTCTACACATAGTTGCGCGATGACCTCCCCTTCACGGATGCCTTCTACGCCGTCAAGAATGCCACCCTGGATGATACCGTTGATGCATTCATATAGTAAAGACATAGCAGAAGTCGTTTGAATGATGTTAGTTAGAGGCCGTATGAGCTTCTTAACCAACCTTGGTTCAAGCGGAGTTAACGATGCAAACTGAGTTCCCCTGTTAGCTGCTATATATCCCTTGGTTAACTTGAGAAGGGCAAACTTACGAGCTTGATTATCTTTATGGCCATCCAATTATTCCCTCCATCAACCAGGAGTTCAAACAAACGTGGTGCCAGAGGTAGGAAATCTTGTGGTCTCCTCCAGCCTAGTTCACAGACGACATTTATAACGGCTGCTGTGACACTCCCGTCTTCCTCTGTATCCATTAATCTCTCCTTAATCTTTGGCCACGCTATGCGGAATGCCTCCGGATATACCAACGACAGCCGGTAGAGATTAACCACCGTCTTCTTCCTTACTACTGCATGTGAGTGTGTCAAGCGAGGTAACAGGTCTGAAAGAAGTGATAATGCAAGCGAGGGCGAGATGATATGCGGAAGTGTGATGAGAGGCAGGGACATCGTAGGAACCTGAGGAGATACAATATCCTGTATGGCATCAGCAACCGTAGCTTGGAGAAGGGAGTATACTATGGTATGCTAACCTTTTTCAAAAGATTGGTAGCCAGCATGAGAACTTCGGTATCAACACGAAAGCTCTGCACGGCTCCAAGGTATCCAACACGCTTCTGGTGGAACTTTGGCGAAGACATGACCTCGAGGACATGGAAGGAGGCCCAGGACATATCATAGCCGAACATCTCGAGGTATATAAGTTTTAACAGCGAAGTGGCCTTTTTATCTGCCGGAATGTCAGCTTCCACACGCCGATACGTTTGAGGAAGCTCAGCGAGTCTGCCAGTAAGGAGGCAGCTGGACTAACCCATATCCTGAGACTTGATCTCTGCACGGCATTCCTTCAAGCTGTTCTGTATATATTCGCCCTCGCTTCCCTTGTGGTTCCGCAAACCTCGGATGAGGTCATACAGCGACTTTTCGAACCTGCACAACACATCAGTAGCTGCAGCTGTGAGAATCTGGGGATGGGAGGTAGCTTACATGGCGATAGACGGCCTCCGCAGTATCACCGACAGTCGATATAGAGGGCGGTCGATGGGCTGTTTGAGTATCCCGCCGGGCTGAGCAAGCTGTAGTGGGATGGCAGAGGGCGGGTTCTATTTCATGTTTAGCTCTGCAGGGTCTGTAATAAATCTCCGGCCAGGAAAAGCATGCAACAGCGCAGGCTGTACGCCGTATCTGCAGATGTTCGTCTCTCTTGGTGATCCCAGTGTCGACGTTCAGAGCCGAAGTCTTCGCAAGCCGACGTTGTGCTGAACTCATCGCGTGGACTTTCTTAGCGCTCTCCGACGTCACTCGCCCCGATTTGCTTTTGGCTGGATCGCAACCACAACTCCGGAGTTAAATAACTACCTGCGTGTTAGTGACAGCAACATCACTCCCAACGACTCGACAATTGGAGGCTGTTACTGATATAATATTTGCGATGTCTACGTCTCTCCTGCACACACAGCTCGGGCTAAGCTCGTCCGACCCCCAGGCCTCGCTGCGCCTGTCCCAGCAAGCTCCCTCATTCCTGAAGACACAGCCCTCCCGCTTCCCTTCATTCCCCTTCTCGATCTTCACCCAGCGAGAAACACCGGAGCTATGGACGAGCTACGAGCAGCTGCTGGCTGCCTGTCTACGGACGGGAGACGACAAGTCTGCGCGGGAGTGTTTGGACAGATTGTCGAGTCGGTTTGGAAAGGACAATGAGCGGGTTATGGGGCTGCAAGGACTGTATGATGAGGCTACTGCGGCGGATGAGGTGGCGCTGAAGAAGGTGTTGGAGAAATATGACGGTATTTTAAAGGAGAATCCAGTCAATGTTGTGAGTGATGTGACAATTCTGAGACGGTCCATCCATGGTTTGCTAACCACATGTGTAGCCAGTGTTGAAGCGACGGATTGCTGTTCTACGATCTCTAGGCAGAGCTGGTGAGGCTATATCCAGCATGGTAGAGTTCCTGGACGCATTCCCAACAGACGCAGAGGCATGGTGTGAACTGTCGGACCTGTATCACAGCCAGGGACTCTCTTCACAGTCCATCTTCTGTCTTGAAGAAGCTCTCCTCGTCCTGCCAAATGCATGGAACGTACGTTTTGTCCTCGTTCGCTGAAATTTGAAATGAAATTGGGCATTTGGCTGACGAGTGAATAGCTGCATGCACGGCTAGGAGAGTTGCTGTATATATCAACGCACTCCCTCGAGTCCCCAGAAACGACGCTAACCCCTGGCGGAGTCTGTACGACGTTTATGTCGAAGAATCAAGTTTTCGACGATTATTTGCGCGGGTATTACGGGCTGACCCTGGTATGCACTGACTCCTTTATGGTACTACTCCTCTATGACGGGTTAGGCTTACATGGTCGTAGAGTACCGCTCGGCTGCTGGAGAGGCTAGGCCCCAAGTCGAGACGAGACGAGACGCTGCCGACAGCCGAGACGACACAGAAGCTCAATGAGCTGTCCGTGCAGAAGCTGCGAGAAATTGTAAAGGAGAGATGCAAGGATGGACGGAGCCCGGAGTTCAACGAGAGCGAGCTCATCGCTGCCCAGGCGCTGCTTGACCGGCTGTCCAAGTCAAGCTGATGGACATTACATACGTGCATGCAAACATCTTCCATCGTCGTCGATCTTCTGTCGGTATCCGAGTCTAAGTATGGAGTAGCTAAGGGTGTGCGCGAGAACAGCTCCAGAGTTCGTCGATCTACTTAGCATAGCACTCCAAAAAAAAAAAAAAAAAAAAAAAAAAAAAAAAAAAAAAAAAAAAAAAAAAAAAAAAAAAGGCTTATGGGCATGCTTGATGCACATAGCTCTCGCTCTATAGACAAGCAGACAAGCAGTAGATCGACGGGATCATTCTTCAGTGAACTATTCTCCTAACTTCCATCGTCTGTCTCCCACCAGTAAGCAAGCCTACCAAATAACGAGCACCGAAGCAGGCACGCCGCCACGCGCAAAGCAAGTAAGTACGAAGACGGCATGACGTGGCACCACAAGCAGGAAGCCGGTAGGAGTAAGGGAGTGGCAGTGGTGAAGGAGGAAAAGGAGGCGTCTTTTGGTCAGGGGTAGGGGGGTCCGGTCAGCAGTCAGTCAATCCGTCGAGTATCCGTCTGAGGGGAAGTAAAAAGCGTCTTAAGTTAGCACTTCACTTCGGTCTATTCAATTGAGTATGGGGAATATCGAATATTGACGTAATAGCGAGGAATTTAAGGCTTTTCTTTTCTTTTCCTTTCGTCGTTTCTTTTGGCGCTCAGTCAATATATCAACAGTCTGCTTATTTAGTTCTCTACTTCTGGCTCGTATTTGATATTGACATCGACACCGAGGAATCGACCAGTCAACCGTACCAACAGTAACAGGTCAGTAGGAGACAATGAATAATAGCCAGTAAATGAGTGAGTGAGCTGAAGGCTGCCTGAGATGCAGTCAGTCATGGCCGCCAGCAGGCCTCTAGGCAGCAGAGTAACTCGAAGTACCGACGCCTCACTCTGGCAGCCTCACTGCAGGCGGTGACTTTCCTCTGCCTGTCTGCCTGCTGCTCACGTATCTCTGTATCTGTCTATGTATCTGTCTATGTATCTGTCTATGTAGCTGTCTGTGTAGCTGTCCATGTATCTGCATGTCTATCAGATCTATCTCGGAGTCTGAACATCGATCTATAACCTGTAAATCTACTGTTCCTCGACTCTACTTCTCTTTATCCTTTCCATTATATCCTCATCCTTTATCTCTATTTTTTATCTTCATCTCCATATCTTTATCTTCATCTTTATATCTTTGTGCCTTCGTCGTCGTCAAAAACTGTGCAGACCACATGACCTTTTCCCGATCAGGCAAAAGTAAACATCAACTCCTCGACCTCAACTTCAACTTCGACTTTTCGCTTCTTCTCGTCTTCGTCTTCGTCTTCGTCTCTTCTTCCTCTTTATCTTCTTCTTCTCTCCGTCAAATCCTCTTTGCTGCTGCGCCGTTCTTCTTGTCCAGCGTCTCCGCCGGCTTCACCCTGGCTGGGTACCCATCAGGTCTTCTCCGCCGTTGGGTTGGGCGAACCTAACTACGTCTGCCCTACCAGCATCCCCCGCCAACAGCAGCGCAAACCAGCAGCCCAGCAGGCCGCCAGCCCATCTAGATCGATCTCACGGTCAGTCGCTGAGTTATGTCCGTCACTCACTCTGCCATCACTCACATAATGCATGTCCTCGTCCCCTGAGCCTCTGCTTAGCCGCCTTTGTTTGCGTGGTGCTGCTCCTCCTCGTCTTGAGGGGGCTTGTCCCGAGTATCGACAGCCTGCCTGCAGCGTCATGATACAGATTGGGCAGCAAAGAACACCAGACCATAGAGAGCGAGCAGGACGAGCAGAAAAGAAGAAAAAAACAAGCAGACAAGCAGGCCAAACTCCCCACCTGTGCATCTCTCACCCTGGCCTGGCCCGCCTTGCCCTTTCGCCCTCTTTTTCTTTTTTCCTTTCGGTTTTATTTAAATTGGTTACCTCCCGCCGTCCGCCGTCCGTTGCTTTTGCTTCCTGCTAATGCTCCGTTATTACTTTATATACCCCGTTGTCTTTCGTCTCTCCGTTAGTTGTTACTGACTGCATAGCATAGCGTACAGGTTAGCCTTCTTTTTTTTGTTCTCGTTTGGCTCTTAGTCCGTCGTGATACCAACCAGCTCCGCTGTTTGTCGAACAGCCAAGGCCGCCCTTTTTCGATTCAGTTTATATAGACACAAACACAGCTCGCCTCCAGAGAAGAAAAAAAAAAAAAAAAAAAAAAGGCCGCCCTTAGCTGGATTCATGTTCTGTTCGCATACCTTAGAAATACCGGATATACTATACACGTTGACTTGCGACGAGACTCCCTGTTTCAGCGGTGACTCGACCTTGGACACCCGAGTCTCACACGGTTCTACACGGCTTCTGCAGTTCCAAGATTCGACACCAACTTCGACGACACCAGCATCGACACCGACTCGCCTCAATTATCCTGCCCTTGGCTCTTAGTTGAGGATTTATTCTCCCAGATCGTTCCGTTCCCTGGAGAGATCTGGCCGGATACTTCCTCTTCCGCCGCAATCGTCCCATGCCGTAAGTTTTTTGTGTATGCTCAACCCGACGTAACGGATGATGCTAATGCTCAGATGACCATAGACTGCAGCTCCCGCTCTGATCATTCATACAGCGAC